TATATTGGAATAAATAATATATTATATGCAAAAGTATATATTATTTATCTATCTATATATGTAATAAAATTCAAACTAAGTCGAATCTGTACATTAAATATTTTTTTGGAAAATCTTATTGAAATAGACATTATTATCGATACAGAGTCCGAATCTATAGTTTTTAGAATTTTTGTCTGTCTGTCTGCCTGTCTGTTACCGCATCACGACAAAACCACTGGACAGATTTTGATGAAATTTGGTATGATGATAGCTGGTTATCCGGGTCAACATATAGGACTTTTTACCGCGGGAAAATATCTCATTTCTGAGAAAAAATGCAAAAACTGCATTGTAAGAGTATACTAATATGTAAAACCTAAGATTTTGGTTTTTGGTCATCTGAACGCGGGCGGAGCCGCGGGCAATGCTAGTTTTATATATATTTAGAAAAACTATGCTTTAATATTTTTTTATTTGTATTACAATTTCTTGTAGTTTTTGCTTTAAGCTACGTTTCGTTAGTAGTAGAACTTAATTTATTAGAAATATTTCGTAACTACACTTATGTAATTAAATTGCAACAACACTAAATTGCACATTATACGTAATATTGTATCTGGCTTACATTACAATATAATCCAATCCACATTTTCGTATTCTTATACCATATACCCATGACTGCTTAATTCACATCAGTCAAGAGAAGCTAGTCAGATTTTAAAGGGACTACTAAGTTGTTTATGACATAATTGGGTAAACTTAAAATAGCACTCTGTGTCCACAGAGTCTACAAACATACAGAAAGACTCAATAACTAAACTTGGCTCGACCCGGGATTCGAACCCAGGACCTCCGGATGTGCGTACATAATATTCACTACACCACCGAGGCAGTTACCTACTAATAACAATATGACTCTATAAAATGAATAATAGCATTATGAGATGCAAGTTTTATTTAAATTAAAATGGTTCTTTTATCTCTCTGTAGCATTAAATTTATACATTCTAACAGTTTATTCTTAGCTATTCTTGATCATTTAGGTCATTTCGATCCGATCTAGATGACAGAGCTTGTTTGTTCTAAGTAGAATATAACAGGCGACACCTACTTGCAAAGAAACACTCTTATAAATGGAAGACCAGTTTATCTAACTCGCTAGTTGATAGACGTCGCATGTACTCGTAGCTACCGAGTGCGATCATCACTAAGGTTAAATCACTCTTGTAACAGCTATTGCATTCGACATTGTTTAAAATATAGGTACTTTCATAAAATGTAGCGTGCTTATATAGTTTTATTATATTATAAGTATATGTTACATATATTTCATGTTTCTCGAATATAGCAATACTAGCAGAACCCGCGGCTTCGCTCGCGCTAAAACTACAAAAAATCTCTAAAAAGGTAGTTTCATACAAACTTTCATCCCCTATTTTACGGCCTTATAGGATGAATTTTTATACGAAAAATGTTGGAACATGTATTTATTTAATTTTATTGAAGAGCATTAATACCAAGTTTCAAGTAATTCTGATCATAAATATATTTTTGGATTGTATTATAACGTGTGTTCCCGTGGGTATTAGATAATCTCCCGTGGTGAAAAGTAGCCTATGTCAATCTCCAGCTTAAATCTTTATGGGTACACAGGCAGCTTTAAATACTCTTAACTCTATTTAAGAATTAATTATCGACGTGTATCAAATAGTGAACTTAACAAAAAACATCTGATATCTAGCATAATAGGTCGGCAGACGATCACCGGAAGTGTATAAATAAAATTAAAAACATCACTGAAACCATTTTTATCAAATTAATTAATTTCCTACATATTTTAAACACGTATCTAATTGTGGATAAAGCAATGATAGTAACAATTAATGCTATAGTGTAGGTAGTCCATTAAAGGGAATAGAAAAACAGGATAAATTCTTTAACAGATTGAATGCGCGGCCGTTACGTATAGGAACGAAGCTATAATATCGGGACTATTATGGTCATCAAGTGTTGCGCAATAATCCGACAAACAAAGGCTCAGTGTATGTAACACAACGTTATATGTTTATGTATATGCCGCGCCCAAAATGGCACGCTTTGATTTATTACCTAAGCTTTGGCATGACACTTCCACTACCTTTAGCGCAGTTGTTTATTTAAACTACCTAGTAATAACTATAAATAACATACTACTATCACGCTGGAAAGATAGGAAGGAGACTCTACGCTTTCTCTCTGTCTGTCTCTCTCTCTCTCTCTCTCTTGTCGATTACTTTTAGAAAATTCATGTTAAGCCCATTACTGGTTTTTAATTTAATGACTATAACAATTATGTAGTACGTATAGTTATAAACTTTTTTAAACATTAACTATTCTCACCTAAAACATTTTTGTATAATAAGTGCTAAAGAATAAATTCGCATTGGTAAGAACACTTATATATTCTTGAACAATAAGCCAATATTAAAAACAACTTTATACTATCACGCAGCAATTTAGGATGTAAACATCTAAAATGACTCATCTAGCACTATGTACTAGTGAAATGAACCCGGGAAGCCCAAGGTTACATAATGGGTTGTAAAAGGTTAGGCACGGCGTAAGCGATACTTTAGTTTGATATTTGCAATAAAACAGACTATCTGCAATCTAGGCCAGGTCAATGTCAGGACGCTTATCGTGTCACAAGGGACAATCTCTGACTCTGATTTCCTTCTTTGTTTGTAAAGAATTGTGTGCTACAATTAATTATTATAATCAATTATTCCTACATATCTCCACTCTATGATTAAGTATAGTTACACGACTTCAAATATCAGCATAACGCCATTTAAATAACTTGTTTCAATGTCATTTCACTCTAACACAAACCAACATTCGAGAAAAACTATTTTTACACTTGACTGCACTCGCCTAGCAATATCGACTTAGCACTCTTATCAGTATATCAATTTGTTATTAAATACGTCTATTTTTTATAGTCAATATTGGCTGATACTTATTATTACTTATACTTATTATACTGAAATATGCAGCACTAAAACATGCAATGAATTTAAAAATATATAAAACACATTGTGTAATGAATGGGAGCAATTATAGAAAATACATCAAAATTTCGCAACATCAACAAGCATCCTAAATAATAGTAACGGTAGTACCATTTGCTCCAGAATTAGATGCATTAGCCAATAGCTGCTCGATTGTAAAGTTCATTTTTGTTATAAAATATTGTTTGGGTGACCCCTATTCGACACTCTAGCAACGTAAAATGATTTATAATGTAAACTATATAACGTTGTTTTTGTATCAGCAATGTATTGAGATATAATATCTTTAGTCATTATAATAAGAGATAAGTATTAAATTAAATAATGTTATTATTTATCATAAATGTAACTGTAAATATTGTATAATATATTAAAATGTAGTAAAAATATATCTATTGGTATGTATTTTTATAAATTTTCTCAAAGAACACTAAACTTGGTGGAGACAGCGGTAAGCAATATAAGTTTAATACCATTCATAAATCTGCAATTATAGGAATTACGGTTTATTCTACGTTTGAGTAAATCTGTTTGTTTTAATCTTGCCAAATTTTAATTAGGTTAATATGCCGCCTAATAATAAACTATACCCATAATGTATTACAGCTAAAAATATCCACTGTACGTTGATATCATCTACCTATTTTAGAAAACATTATGTCGAAACTCGAAATCATTGGCTAGCCACTGGCGCCAACATATTTTCTCTTTTTAGCAAATTCAATAAACAACAGACGGTGTCGTAGAAACTTGAGTGTTTATTTTAAATTTTCACGTGGATATTTTGTCGCCCGACACATGTTAATCAGCTTGGCTTGTGATGAAGCAAACGATTTGTCAACATTTATAATGATGTACCACGTCTATTAAAACAGTGTATAAAAGCAGGGCTAATATCATATTATGATTTTAAAGCCACAGTTTTTCTTTCCTCGGGGTATAAGCATATAACTACTTGTCATAGGTGTTCACCTATCGTATTAATTGTTTTATAATATTGTGTCTTTAGATAATACCTTAGAAGACTACCTCATAAAATAATATCATAAATATTTTTTACAATGTAATTGATAACATATTTTTAACATTGATCTCACATTTTACCGTCCAATAAAACCATTACATATAAATTACCAAAAAGATATTTAAATCAGATATCTAAGCGTATAAAAAATTAATGGTAGCTGTAACTGATTTACAAAATAAGAACAGAGACCACTCTGCCGCAGAACTCATTCGTATAGAGAAACTGTTAGAAATAAATACTTACACTTGTATAAACACTTTTGTTCTCGTGCTTATAATAAAATTGTAATAGATTTTGTAGGTACTTAACATTACAATATTAAAATATGAATTAATATTAAAGTGTTTAAGTAAATCGAATCTATGGATAGTAATCAAGTACATATACCTATAGATATATATTAATCAATAAATTATAAAATTATTATTATTAAATTCATACTAACATTATAAATGTGAAAGTGTGTTTGTTTGTTTATATGTTTGTTTGTCCTTCTTTCACGTCGAAACGGAGTGAAGGATTGTCGTGATTTTTTGTGTGGAGATAGTCGGAGGGCTGGGGAGTGACATAGACTACTTTTACCGCGGGAGATTATCTAATTCCCTCGGGATAACGTTATAATACAATCCAAAAAAATATTTATGATCAGAATTACTTGAAACTTGGTATTAATGCTCTTCAATAAAATTAAATAAATACGTGTTTTAGCATTTTTCGAAATTCATCCTATGAGGGGGTAAAATAGAGTATGAAAGTTGTATGAATCTACCTTTTTAGAGACTGTTTTGTAGTTATAGCGCGAGCGAAGCCGCGATTCTGCTAGTTATTTATAATATGCTACTAATATTCATATATTTAATATATTATTTCTTTTGCAGAAACCATGAGTCGATGAAGTAAGAGCCTAAATACAAGTAAAGGAAAATTTTTACTTATACAAAATGAAGAGACTACAAAAGTGTTGTTGTTTGGCCTCCACACGAAATGGCACCATTATAACAGCTGTATTGGGTATTATATTGTCCATAATCACTATAATAACAGTTTGGGTGATAGACAGACACTATGTATCCTTCAGGACTTTTATCTTCGCGGAAGATTTTGATAAGAAACTCTCTGACATGGAAAGTGAGTATAATATATTCATATTAGTTACTAAATAAGCAAGTTATTTGCATATTGTATAATCCAATTAAGTTTTTGTTACGATTTATTTCCATTTTGTGCCACAGAAAATTTTAAGGTCGCATTGTAATGTTTCATAATTTTTTTCAATTGTTATTAAAGCTACTACATCTTTTTCAGTTCCGAGGATAATACTGACGGTCAACTTATGTTTTACAATATTAATATGTTTCCTCCTCATTATTGCCGTTTTAAAGGTAAGTTATTTAATCTTACAGCGTGCTGAAATATAATATAAATAAATTTTTAGTATTTTATTATTAACTTTTCCTTATTTTAACGCTTATCAGACGTCATTTTCGGTATGTATTTTTATTTTTACCTTATAATATATTTCTTAGTGTTAGTAATTATCTAATGATTCATAAAACGATTTTACATTAGTCATAACTATTGACGTATTCATGGATATCACAAAGAATTCTGGTTCAGGCAAAGCCTTTATACACTAACTGACCTAAAATCGGTGAAAAGCGAAAGTTAGAGGGAAGCTTGCCCTGAAACAGGAGCTTCGTATAATATGAATATTAAAGATATACTTACTTACAGATGAGAAGATAGCAAAATAGAAAAAAATAATACATGTATATGTACATTTTCAGAAACGGTCGTGGTTGATGCTGCCGTGGGTGGTGCTTGGAATCGTCCTGGCAATTGGATTATTAATAAGCGTCTTGCACACTTCAATCACATATTACCTGGATGACAAAATTAAAGATCACAATATTCTAGCCACTTGCATCCTCATCGGCGGATTAATTTATTTATGTAAGGCCCTTTTTATTTACCAAAAAATAATGATATAACATACACTATAATAATAACAATCATAGATTTCAACAAGCATTCACGCTTCGACTTAAAAACTAATCAGATAATGTAAACCGAATCAAACGATGTCTTGGAATTTTGCAATGGCACTTATGTAGTAATTGAATTTCCGTCTTGACTCACCAGACCCTTATTCCCTATAAAAAAACAACTCGCAATATTACGAAAACTTGATATCTGGCTTTGCTTCTTACTTTCTTCTTTATTTTGTATTAATAATGAGATTATTTTAGTACCTTGTATCACGAATAAGATACTTAAATATTATTTACTAGCGACTCAACCTCGCTTCACTCGGGTACGTCCTTACGTTGATTCCTCATACAAACTTTCATCTTTAAACCCCTTTTTATTTTTTAAAGCAAAAACTTTAAACCCCTTTTTTATTTTTAAACATATTCCATGAACCGAGCTTTGGCATAGTTAAAGTTTATATAAAGAAGAACTGCAGAAAGTCAAAATTTATTGACTTTCTTTTACTCGCGTATTTTATTTATATATAATTACTTCACTACTAAAAGATGCAATATGATGTTAGATAACCCTTATCAATATTATACGAGCACTTACATAATATAAAGATGAAAAGTTTGTTTGTCCTGTACGTGCAAATCTCTGAATCTATGGGCCCGTTTCAAAATTCTTATGGATATTATAGGCTATCTATACAATTTTGAAGAAAGAACTTCAATGTCGATCAAACTTATTTAATGAATTATGGTTGATTTTCAACCACGGGGCGATCACTACTCTATATAAATATTTATAATTTTAATAATAAACGCAAAAATGAATCAAGCAACAGTTATAATACCTACAAGGAAATACATTTATCGACATTAATGGAGCGTAAAGCGTAGGCTGGGACTTGGGAGATAATAGGCGTAAAATTAAATTTGGTTGATCTCATAGAACGCTAATTAGTCACAAATAGAATTCTAGCATCTTTTATAGTTTAACTGACGATGAAAAAAACTATTTTATAATAACTCGACTGCTCATGAAGTAGTTAAGTAAGTAATATTTTTCAAATGTCAGTGTGTATGTATGTATATATTATGTACATAATATAGTATTTATTTCGTAGTTATTGTTATAGTAGAATTATTGAGTATTCATTATATATAGTAATAACCGGATTAATTGTTGGGGATACCATATTATTCTCAGATAGAGATTTGTCTTTATTAGAAATTATTTTACAATTAGTAGTTTTTTAGTTTAGTTTTTCCTTGCATATATTCTATGAGTGTCGCCATAACGTGTTTCCTTCTTAAAATTTCTCATCTTTTTTTTTTACACATCTTCTCTCACGCAGTCTATCTATACCTATACTTTCTTCGGTCTACCTCTACTTTTATATAAGTCTACATTCATACTAATACTTTTTGGTTGTATCACTTTTAACCCTTTGCTTAGGCTTGTAAGTTTTTTCACAACTTATAATTTTCCTCTGATAAACTTATTCCTCATGCTGACCATTCTCATTATCTCATTCTGTACACCATCACAAGATTCTTATTACATTTTCTTTCGTCCATTCCTATTTTATCTATTACGACAGACCCTTATATTCTTTAATATTATTTGCTTAAATTTTATATTATAAACAAAAGTAAATAAGTACGGTTTATCCCGTTCTAGTTTAAACAATGCGTTCCGTTGGGGCAGTGGCAGAAAGCGGACGCCAATACGATTTTTCCTGTGTACCTCGCAATAAAAATCTACTAAAACTAATATTATAAAGAGGGAGTTTGTTTGATTTGAAAAATTGTTTTTGCATTAGATAGCCTGTTTATTGAGAAAGGCCATAGTATATAGTCCATCTATTCGTTAAAATGCACGCAGGGACGAACCCGAGCGAAGCGAGAGTGAGTCGCTAGTAAATTATATTAAGGTTACTGAAGTATTGTTAATTTTGGATTAACGAATTGTTTTACGTTTAATTTGTTACTAATAAACTATACCTATATCTGTACTAGCGACTCACCTTCGCTGCGCTCTAGTTTGACCCTACTTACGTTTTAACTTTATTATAGATTTCTTAGAGATGACATATTTTCCCGCAGTAAACAGTATATTTTATATTGACCCGGATAACAACAGCTATCATCACACCAAATTTCATCAAAATTAGGTTTGGTGGTTTTTCCGTGATGCGGTCACAAACAGACAGACAAAAAATCTATGTACAAATTCGGCATAATATATGTAGGTATAGATAATATAATTAAATATTAATTTATGTAATTTTCACAGGCATATACATCTACTTGTGGCTAGTCGTATTTAGTCATTACTTGGACGTGCGCGATGAAGAACAACGGGGCCGGTATCGAAAGGCGCCCTACAAGCGATAAACATTTATAATATACGACAAATTCAATGCACAAGTGCCTTATAGAAATATGAATATATTTATACAAAAAATACTCTATTAAGAGATAGGTGTTTAATATTATAGTTTTTAAGTTTAAGAATTTATGAATACATTTATATGAATACGAAGTTATCAATACTGAATATTTTATTATAACACAATGTCAAATCACAATACAATTTCTGATATATATTATGTTAAGATTTAATATTATGAATGTTGTTTTTGTGCGTTAATATTTATAATAGGGTACTATTATAATCAATTATCACGTCAAATAATTTATTAATAAAAACAAAACAACTCGAAATATCCAAAATTATGTTAGTAAATAATTGTACTAAAATTAGAGCAAAAAATAATATCATAATCAAATTGCACTATCCAAATTACTAAAAGTTGACTGGAAGAATAAAAATATAATACCTATGCATTTATATGTACAGATCTACATTTTTTTTTATAACATATGATGTCCTCCTGGCCTATCATGGCCCTGGTAACCAATCTCAGTGAGATTAGCTAAATTCGTAGAAGTCATTATATTAACTATACGCGCAAACACAAGCGCACTCTCTATTCCTATCACTCCGGTGGGACGAAAATTCTACACGACCGGTGAGAGATAAGGTGCAACACAGACAGGCGTTACGCTCTCCGAGGCAGAGTGGAACACAGCCAACTTCCAAACTCCTGACTGTTACTGAGAATTTCGACAGAAACACTCAATAGCTAAATTGGTCCCTACCTGAGACTCGAACCCAAGACCATCGGATCTGCTGCCGTACATGCTACCTACTAGACCGCAGCGGCAGTTTATAACATAAAAAAACATTTGATATGGGAGATTAATAATTGAAACAAAACTTAAACAAAAAACTCTCAAAAGAAATTTAAAAAATGATTGTTTCGTACAAAATAAATATTTTTTATTTAAAAAGAACTTTTTAAAAGTGTAAATGAATGAATTTATACAAATAAACTTAGTGCCTATTACATTAAGTTACCACATTTCAAATATGTCGATTTAATTGTATTAAAAAATATTAACTTATTGTACTGTTTATGTGTCACACAGTGCATTTTATAAAATAAATAATATTTTACGTAATTGGTTTCTACGGTATTTTACTTTTTGTTTGTCATCATGTATTTTTCCAGAGTCCTACCTTTATCACGTACTCATACAGGGTACTTATTTAGTTCTGCATTTTTTTTTTTTATATTCAATCAACATTTACCAAAAAGTATAAACTAATGTCAAAACACTAGAATAATATAATTCCACAACAAAGATGTATTAGGGTTTTCCAATATACGTGTGTGTGGGGTACCTAATATTTTGGAGTCCCTAGCCATTTACTAATTTATTAGTGTATAAAAATTATTAAATAAAAAACCAAATATTAAATTATATTTATATCAGGTTGTATTGAGGTTTCTTTCGCAATTATCGTTATATTAATTTATCATTTATCACATTATTCCAATTAAGAGCTAAGATAATTTGGTAAAATAAAGTTTTAAATGATATTCTACTTGCGTTTTCAATGATGATAAACCCTTAATAATTGTTCTTTAATATAAATATGTTGGGATATTACACACGCAGATTATACACACAGCGCCATCTAGTTCCATGGTAAGCTACGACGCTTGTGTTGTGGAGATTGGATCAAAGAAATGGGATTTGGAGGAATGGTACCTTAAATAATGAAAATATCAAGTGTCACTGAAAGGAAATATTCTTTTGTTATTAAAATATTTTTTAATCCATACTAATATTATAAATGAAAACGTGTTTGTTTGTTTGTTTGTCCTTCTTTTGCGTCGAAACGGAGTAACAGATTGTCGTGATTTTTTGTGTGGAGATAGTTAGAGGGCTGGAGAGTGACATAGACTTTTTATCGCGGGAGATAACTTAATCCCCACGGAAACATGTTATACCTAATACAATCCAAAAAAATATTTATTATCAGAATTACTTGAAACATGGTATAACTCTTTAATAAAATTAAATAAATACGTGTCTTAGCATTTTTCAAAATTCGTCCTATAAGGGGGTAAAATAGAGGATGAAAGTTTATATGAAACTACCTTTTTAGAGATTTTTTGTAGTTTTAGCGCGAGCGAAACCGCGGGTTCTGCTAGTATAGCTAGAAATTAAAAAAAAAATATAACGTCACTATTTAATTAATTAATCGTTTGGTTAGGTATACGGTAAGAAATCTTACAATTCGTAGTATATGGACTATAAATAAGAATCGTGGAACAAACAGACGGGACATAGAAGAAAAACACTTTAAATACTGTAAGCATTTTTTTAAGTAAGTTGTATTGGAATCAATTTTGAGCTTCTTGTCGTTTATAATTTTTGACGACACGTTTGGCTCAGTTTGTAGTGAGTGACTCTACTTTTTGTGCCAGAGGTTGCGGGTTCGAGTCACGCTGGGGGCATTCATTTGTGTGATGAGCACAAATGTTTGTACTCCAGTCATGGGTGTTTATATTTATAATATGTATGTGTTTAAAGTTATATATGTATAATGTATCAACTATCTGGTATCCATAGCACAAGCCTCGTAGCTTACCATGGAACTAGATGGCGTTGTGTTAATGTCCTGACATATTTATTTATTTATTAACCATGTCAACAAAGAATTTATTATTATTATTACCATGGAACTAGATGGTGCTGTGCGTTTAATGTCTCAACATATTTATTTATTATTACTAAATCTTCGTTTAAACGTTGCTCTTCGTCGTTTGTGAAGATAGGTAAATGGATGTAAGTTTGTTACACTTTCACGCAAAATCTACTTAAAGGATTCTGAACGGGGGTTTTCATTTATTATAGATACCTAATCAGATATTTTCGAAGTCGGTCCCAGCTGACAATGCTTTAAGGTTAACATATAATAAGTAAATATGACAAGGTATGAACTCTCAATAATTATAGTTAATATATTATTACATTAATTTTTGATGTATTTATAAATATCGAAATAGATTTGATTTACTTCGCATCATCGGCAATATGTAATAATATGCAATCCTAATATTACATTCATACGTGTCGAATTGATAACCACCTTATTTTTAGAAGTCGGTTAAAAATATATAAAGTGTGAAACTAAAAAAAAATGTTTATCAACATCAATAAAGTGTTATCATATATTTTTATAACCTTGTAGAGATGAAGAGTATCATTTTGTATGAATTGTATACTGTTTTATGATATCATTTTATTATAGTCATACTTTGCCAGTATAACGTAGCAGAACGTCAAGTGATAGAGAGCAAAAATTAATCAATCATTGATCATCATTATAGAATTATCTAAAAAGTTTGAAAAGCATTCGGTAAGTGTAATGAATTTAATTTGGTTAAACTGAAAATTGAATCTGAGACTATTTCTATTTTATTTGTATTTATTTATACTAAATTTTAAATCAGAAAAATAAAATCCAAACAAATATATTTTTATAAAAATTAAAATCACACTTACATGTTTTAATTGAAACTATCTTTTAGGTTTTTGTCATGCTTTTATTTTGAAAAAAAATCCAGAAATTGAACGTTTAAACGTTTAAACGTTTAAACCCGTTCTTTTAAATCGAAAAATATAGTTGCATTTAAAACTAAAAATATATTCGCGTAAATATAAGAAAATATTATTAATAGGTATTTGTCATTTTTTTAGCGATACTCTTATAATGGAAATTTCATTCAAAGGGAAGCGAGTTCTCGTAACTGGTGCTGGACAGGGTATTTTATAATACAAGATTTTTTGCTTTACTCTAAATAAATTATTAAATTTAATAGTTTCTTGACTTATCTAATTGTAATATTATCGTAAACCTATTTTAGGAATAGGTCGTGGAATTGCGATAGAACTATGGCGTGCCGGTGCCAAAGTTGTTGCAATTTCTAGGACTAAGTCTCATTTAGATACATTAAAAAATGAGTACCCATCAATTGATATTTTGGAACTGGACGTTGGGGATTGGGAAAAAACTAGGAGGTTTATAGACAGTCTCGGACACTTCGATGCTTTAGTTAACAACGCAGCCGTAGCCAAGTGCGAGCCGTTTTTGGAATGCTCACCAGACGCTTTTGACAAGTAACATCCCTTTTTTAATTTTACTCACTTTGTCATTCATGATCGAACAATTCAATAAATTGAATCTTCACTTTTTACCATGTTATCTAATATAATAACAACAATCATTCGTCAAATCTCAAAGTAAGTAAATAAGAACTAGTTAGTTGGAAAATCTTCTCATTGACTTTCACATTGTGTCCATTATCAAAGTATTATACGTACAGTTAAACATGATATTGGATGTAAAGTAGAGATTAAAAAATATATAGTTTTAGTAGGAGGAAGACAATTTAATAATAAATAATTCATTTTTATCAACTATTTATTTACAGCATGTTTAATATAAACGTAAAATCAATAATAAATATAAGCCAAATAGTCGCCAAAAAGATGATCGACAGTAAAACTCATGGTGCCATTGTCAATGTATCCTCACAAGCCTCGAAGGTAAAAATAAATTATTAGTAACTATAGAAACTGTTCATACACTTTTGAAATAAAAACTTAATCCCAATTACAATTTTAATATTAAAATAACTTTCATGCAATTAATTATTTTTCTATCAGGCAGCACTGAAAGATCACACCATATATAGTGGATCAAAAGCTGCACTGGATGCTGTAACGCGCGCTATGGCTTTGGAACTTGGACCCTACGGCATTAGAGTAAATGCTGTGAACCCTACAGTTATTATGACGGCAATGGGTAAAATTGGTTGGTCTGATCCAGATAAAGCTAATGCTATGCTTTCGAAAATTCCTCTTGGAAGGTAAGAATATGTTTCTGATATTCATTCAACTGAAATAATGAAAACTTAAATGGTGAAACAAAGAGCACAATGTAATCATATAATTATATTACAGGTTCGGTGAAGTGTCGGAGGTTACAAATGTTGTTCTTTACCTTCTTAGTGACAAAGCCTCGATGATAAACGGAGTCGAGCTACCTATTGATGGAGGATTCTTGGCATGCTAATTAAGGTTCTTCGAATAAAAATGCTACTCCCTTGCTCTTTATTAATAATTATGAAATTAATTCATTTCTGTTGTTCAATAGCATTGGAGGAGTAGATTTTAGCGTCAGATAAAGTCACCATTTAGTCTGGATAATGTTCAAACCTCAATTCAGTCTATTGTTATGTCTATAAATCAATAAATTATATACTGTCCTATTTATTAGTATCTATCAAACCCTGTCAATTTGTTCAAAAAACAAAGTGCATTAGTTGATTTTTTACTTATTTAAGTAATTTAGGGTAAGAGCTGTATCGGAAATAAAAAAAAATGTAATAATGTAGCCGCAAAATTATTACTTTGAAGTTTTTAGTCAGATCAATAAATTAAGAGGATTGTAAAGCTGTAATTTTTCATACAAAAAGCGACAATGTTCTCCCCCCTAATTCTAATTTTCATAGTTTTAGGACTCATTTATTAATGAAAAGATTAGTTAATTATACAAAAATAAAAACCGACTTCAAACAAAAGCACTAAAAAGTAAAAAATAACTGATTGGTAGTTTTCATTTACTATACAGTCGGTGTGCTTTGCTTTGTATGGGCTGGCACCGATTACCAATCTGGAAGTATACCCTTTCAAACAAAACAAAAATTTTCCAAATCGGTTAATAAATGACGGAGTTCTGAGGTAACAAACATAAAAAAAAAAAAAAAAAAAAAAAAAAACATACAGTCGAATTGAGAACCTCCTCCTTTTTGAAGTCGGTTGAAAAACGATGTAATGTGGCGTTAAAAAGTTACGGCCTTGTTGGTATCGGCTCTGTGCGGCATCGTCTTAGCTCTCACTTATTACTTATCACTTATACTTATTTACGCGGCACACGAAAAGGAAATCAAATTAATTTTCGTGTAAAAAAAATAGGAAAATATATGTTTAAAGAAATTGGTATGGTTGATTCCTCACGGACCGACTACATTAACATTTAATATAAATTTAAAAATGTAAAATTGACGATTCATAAGTGCTTGTAATTTACAAAAGTCTATTTGAATAAAAGTATACATAATAAATATTATCTCGATTTGATTTAATGGGGAAGAATTTTGTCTTTTTCTCCCATCAGATGTCACGTCACTATGATCCTCAGTACATTGTAAAGGCTTATAGCGTGGATGGTTTTTTTGTTCATTTTATTTAAAATTTAATTAAAATGACAAATTGTGCAGTGTCAGGATACTAAGAAAATGGATATAATTTGTTCCCATAAAACAAAAATCGAAGAAATTGTGGGCTAAAGCAATAAAACGACCAATGGGGAAGATTTCTTGAAAGACACACCTATTAACTATTTACATTTAGTCTGAGGTCAAGCAATTTCTTATGATCTTTTTTGTACCTATGTTTTTGCTTCTATTGTGTTTGTCGTGTTATTTACAGTGGTACGGAACCCCTCGTGTGCGAATTCCACTTGCACTTGACAGATTTTTAAAATACATTAACAATAGGTACCTACGTTGCGAACCTAAAATAGAGTTTCCATTGAAATTGTTGGCAACTTCTGTGTTTATGTTTGCAACTCTCCAAAAATTCACCAACTTTTGTCCCCATTATATCTACACCAAATTGAAAAGAATCACCAACAACTTCAGAAACATTTCGGTTGATGACTCCACCGGGTCTCCACCGGGTTTATTGGAAAAATATCTTCGAATAGCCCCATAGCATCATTTATAATACGTTAGTTCACGTGACAGAGATGTTGCTATGTACAACTAATGTTTCAAACATACTCGAGCCACGAGCGTACCCACAGCACATTAATAATTCCGTTTAGTTATTCATGTGACATCCACAGAGCGAATGAATATCGGTAATAAGAGCGTTCTTCTGTTATTTACCGCCAAAAACGGAAATACGATTCTCGACATTAGTTTACAATTTTTGTTGATAGCACAATATAATTACAGAAACTTTTGTCACCAACAAGTGTTAGCAACACAAAAGTTGACAATTTTACTTTGGTGGAGACCCACCTTAACAAAGATTAACTTTAGTTATGGAAATGTTATTAATTATTATTATGGCGCTTTTACTTTTTATGAGCTATTTAACATGGTTAAAAACTGTTAAAGTCACTAAAATTGGTTTAATTTAACGCAGGATGAATTTAATATTAACAAACATATCTTTGTTTTTACATTTTTATAAAATAATCAAGTAAACTAAAATAGCCCGAAGGATAGCCCAAATTAGTGCTGTGCAATTATTTCTTTACACGGGATTTATAATGTTATTTATTTATTATTATAATATTATCATCTATGCCAACAGGATAGCTCACCCGACCGCCAATAAATATCAAAGAACATAAGTCATAACATTGACAGTGACAATCAATCATATGTTGTCAGATGTCACTTGTCATTTCAGTTTTGATTTTGCTAAGTACATTGTGATTTTTCTAGGCCGCATTACTTTAATAAAGGACATATTTACAAACGCATTTGTGTAATTAGATAGGTGCTCAGTTATTTAAAAGCTTGCTATATGTATTATTTGTAACCAGTCGATAGAGTTATACATTAATAAAACCAAATTATGGAAATCTCATTTAAAGGGAAACGTATTCTTGTCACCGGCGCTGGACAAGGTTCGTTTAATAGAGCTTTTTATCAATTTATATGCTAAATGATATAAATTGACCGACTCCAAAGATAGAATTAACTCCCATGTATTTTTTTAATGCTTGTTTATCCATTATCTGACTGAATTAAGGTCATTAGATCATTGGCATACAATTGTATATTTAATATAATTTTTACAGGTATTGGCAGAGGTATAGTAGTAGAATTATGGCGAGCAGGAGCCAATATCGTTGCACTTTCTCGAACAAGAAGTCATTTAGAAAGTCTACAAATGGAGTATCCATCAATTGATATTGTAGATGTAGACATATCTGACTGGAACAAAACAAGGGAAATAATTGAATCTTTAGGACATTTTGATGCATTAGTGAACAATGCAGCCATAGCTGTATGTGAACCTTTCCTTAGTTCTTCTCCAGCTAACTTTGATAAGTTTGTATTTTTATCAAATTTATTGGAATTGTACATCATATTTTTTATATTAAAAAACGTTCTTTTGTTTCAGAATGTTTGATGTAAATGTAAAAGCAGTATTAAACATAAGCCAAGTAGTTGCTAAAAAAATGATTGAAAATAAAACTGCTGGTGCCATAGTGAACATATCTTCACAAGCCTCTAAGGTATTAATAATATCTAAATCTTATATAGATAATCCTTAATTTACTTTAAACTTTAAAGCTAGCTTTTGAAGTTATGATCAAACTAGTTTCAGATAATATAATGATTATTTTCCTGATAAGATTTAATAATATTCATTATTTATTTTAAAACAATGTTATACAGTTAAAACCGTTTATGACGACATCGTTAAGAACAACATATCAGTTATATTGACCAAAATCAAAGGTCCCGGCTGAATGCTATATGACCGCCTTAATAAAAATATTGCTTTTTACGACATTGCTTATTACGACATTGCTTATTACGACATACCTCTTTAAGCGACCACATTTAACTAATATTTTCGGCGAATTATATCTGCTAGAACGACCAGCTGTATTGTAAGCAATTTGAATAGGTAACAGTATCCACATCTGGCCCTTGGGGGCTCAGCATAATGGTCAACGCCAGAACAACGAAGAATACGAAGATTGAGGAAGCTTTGTTAAAGTGGTTTAAATATCAAAGGACAAATAATGTGCCAATAAATGGACCAATTCTTCTACAAAAAGCAAACGATTTTGCTAAGCGTTTTGGTGAAGATTTCGTTTGCTCTCTCTCTCTCTATATATATATGTACACATTCAATAATACCACTTCATAAAAAAATACTTTGTACCTAAAAACCATCACCGGCTGCTACAACTATCGGTTTTTACGACCAAATATGAGTGGTCTCTTCGATGTCGTTATAACAGATTTTGACTGTATATACATTATAAATGTTAACATTGGCAATATATAAAGTTATCTATACATATAATAAAATTGTAACTAAGTCGTATCTGTACATTAAATATTTTTTGGAAAATCTTATTGAAATAAACATTATTATCGATACAGAGGCTGAATCTATAGTTTTTAGAATTTTTGTCTGTCTGTCTGTCTGTTAGCACATCACAGAAAAACCACTGGAGGGATTTTGATGAAATTTGGTATAGTGATAGCTGGTTATTCGGTTCAACATATAGGATACTTTTTACCACGGGAAAATATCTCATTTCTGAGAAAAAATACAAAAACTGCATTTTAAGAGTATACTAATATGTAAAACCTAAGAATTTGATTTTTGGTCATCTGAACGCGGGCGGAGCCGCGGGCAATGCTAGTAATTTATAAACTGTGAATTATATTCAAAAACTTTTACAACAAATATGACAAAATGTTTCATTTTCTGCACATACAGAAATAGCAAATTTTCACATGCTTATTTATTGCTTTGTATTGACTAGATGTTACCATATCTTTATTTTATAATTTTCTATATAAGTACAATAGCCTTGCTTTAATGTCTTCCTGTGAGAATAATTTTTCCTACAATCAATTCATTAAATTTCATCTTACGATCAATCAAAAATTTTCATCTTTAAGTATAAATGTATTTTTTAATAATATTTATAATTTATTTAATATTTATTTAAAGAAGCAGGCAGACAAAAACTAATTGGATTGTACAATATATAATTTTAGGCTGCCCTAAAAGACCATGCCATATATAGTGCTTCAAAAGCTGCATTAGATGCCTTAACTCGTGCCATGGCCTTAGAACTTGGTCCTTTTGGAATTAGGGTAAATGCTGTTAATCCAACTGTGATAATGACTGCAATGGCTCAGGTTGGTTGGTCGGATCCTGAAAAAAGCTCTGAAATGAAGGCAAAAATACCACTTGGAAGGTAGATAATGATTAAAATTTTTACTCTATAATTAGACATAAGGTATTTTATCTAAGTCAGTTGTCAGTAAAAAGTGTAAATAGATGCTAATTTTATTTTAATTACAATAAAATTGCATTCCTTATCTCAATATAAACTGGTATAAAAATTTGCATATCAACAGTGGTTCGTTCTTAAAATAACTATTGTGCTGTGAATCTACAGTATTAAACAAAAATATATAACATGACTTTTTCGAATTTTTTAGGTTTGGTGAAGTAGCTGAAGTTGTTAATGCAGTTGTTTTCCTACTAAGTGAGAAATCTAGCATGATCAATGGTGTGGAATTGCCAATAGATGGTGGCTTCCTTGCTACATAATTCTAAATTAACAGAAACAAGCTCGAAATGTTCCTTTTAATTTTTTTTTATTCATGTATTGCCTTATAATGTGAGATCTGTTAATTATACAATTTATTGTTAAGTAATAATTTTAGGTACCAAAGATAATCATATTGCTTTTAATATGCCATTTTAATGGCTAAAGTGATATCAAAGTAACAACCCTTTTTGCTAATAGCAATTGTATGTATCTTCATACTAATATACTATACTGTGCTGGTAAAGAATTGGATTATTAATAACATTGTCTAAATTCTTCTCTCTCTATAAAAGCTATCGCCGTCTTTGCTCATATTTGTAATGTAGAACACAGAAATAATGACATTTATTAAATGTTAAATATATGTTGTTATTATAAATCTCTTAGAATACTTTGTATTAGAACTATTTAAAATGTTTCCAAAACTATACTAATATTATGAAGAGGTATTTTGTTTGTTTGTTTGTTTGTTTGTTTGTTTGAACGCGCTTATCCCAGGAACTACTAATCCAATTTGAAAATATCTTCTTTTGCATTAGATAGCCCGTTTATTGCGGAAGGCTATATATAATATAATAGTCTGTCTATTCTATACTAATCATTAAAACGTACCTGAGCAAATGTAGGATGAGTCGCTAGTACCATATAATTCAATCATAATTATTGTTTTAAAGAAAAGTGTACTACCTCTAACAGTAAGGTAACATTATTTTTACATATGCAATCACAATTTATTATTTCTATGTTATGGAGGGTAGAAGTAAGGAGAACTATTTCTTGTATAAAAAGTGACCACAGACAAAATTACCAAATTGGTGGCGCCACAGAAAACAAGTAGATAAATTTAAAACATGGCGCCAAAAGTACAAGGTATAAGGTTTTTACATGTTAAATTTACTAAATTATTTTGGACTACGTAAATACTTCAGGTTTTTTATACTGCAGTTTTAATAACTACACTGGTCAGCAGAGATATTATTTTTTTAAATTCAGCACACTGTTTAAAACTGCTAAATTTATATCACTTCTACTTGCTACGCTAGCGCTATAACGGTGAGTTCCTGAATTACAATTTGCTGCTCGCCACTGGACACTTTTTCTACTTGTTTCCCATATAAGTCGGTTCTCCTTACTTCTACCCTCCATATTCTATGTCAGGTCTATTCCCACTCTTTATCTGCACGGGTAGTGAATATATAATTGTCTATAATGCATTTATATGCGTGGCATGACTTCCTAACATTTTACATTTAACCTTCTCCAAGCTTTTACAAAAAATACTAATATGTTCAAGTTATATAAACGAAATCCATGATAATTTCATTTCTATAATTTGAAATTTTCTATGACAAATATACATAAGTGAAGTATTTAAGGAGTGAAATATAAATATGCTAACATATTCCCTATATGTAATCATTTTGTTTTAATAATATTACCAAATGGCCTGTAATGTATGAAATATTCGTTTTTCAATAAATACAATTTGTTTGCAACATTTGAGTTTTCTTCGAAGGTAGCTTTCACATGTGTATATTTTTGAAGTAAAACTTCTTTAGGCGTGACCGAGGGTAGGGTAAGTCAGGACATTGGAAAAATGAGTCGCGGAAGTGAGTCTTTATTATTAATAATTTAAAAAAATATATACGTACGCACGTTTGGAAATAAATATGAGAGTAAAATTTTTTCGATGCGCGCGCACACCGACAGCCAAAAAGCGACATTATGAAATTAGCTGAAAGCGACATGATGAAGACAAGCTGCATTCCTTTTACAAACAGAGTTGTGACATACGAGATGAAACCTTTAGCTATTTTTGTTCTATTACGCCAAAGAAGTATAACTTCTTACGTGCGTAAATACTCGTAAGTACACAGACACGTTTTTTTAATAAAAATATAGGTATATATTTATTATTAATAATTTTATAAAATTATAACTTATATAAATGAATACTTATTACTAATATATAATTTTATAATAATTATTATACATGTTGATGTTTCTGCTACAGAGCCAAGGTTAACACAAAGTTCCACCGACTGCCAAAAACGAGGAGGATCTCAATTCGTCGAAATCTTTTTTTTTATGTATGTTAACCGATTACTCGAAGACGCCTGAACCAATTTGGAAAATTTTTGTTTTGCTTGAAAGGGTATATATACTTCCCAGGTGTTCCCATATAAATTTTATCGAAATCGGTCGAGCGGTTTTAAAAAAAATCAACAATAAATATTTTTTCTAAAGAAATTGTTTAATCGAATATGTTATTAAAAACTTTCTTCCTACAAATTACCTGCTTATTACGTCTACACTAAAAATATAAACTTAAATAAAACCGACTTTCAGGCACTAAAATGTAAAAAATAACTAAACGGGGGTTTTCATTTAGAATAGATACCTAATCAGATATTTTCGAAGTCGGTGCCAGCCGACAATATTTTAAGATATGAATATCTAATAGGTAAATATGTATTTTACGTATCAAAATATATTAGATTTCCTATGCGTCGGCTGGCACCGACTTCGAAAATATCTGATTAGGTATCTATTCTAAATGAAAAGCTCCGTTTAGTTATTTTTTACATTTTAGTGCATGGAAGTCGGTTTTATTTATTTTTTATTTAGTTTTTATTAATTTTTAATACATTTAAAACTAGCGTCTCAACCTTTCTCCGCTCGGGTTCATTCTTAGGTATGTTTTAACAGTTTAGACTTTAGTATCGATTTCTCAGAGATAAGATTTTTCCCCGCAGTAAAAAGTATCCTTTATGAATATGTTGACCCGGATAACCAACTAAAACCATACCAAATTTCATCAAAATCTGTCCAGTGGTATTCCCGTGATGCGTTTCCAGATCGACAAACAAAAATTCTAAAAACTATACTTATATTCGGCCTCTGCATCGATAATGACTATTTCAATAAGATTTTACATAAAATGTACAGTTTCGACTTAGTTACAATTTTATTATACATAGGTACATATGTGTAGATATCTGGTTTAAATTGCAACACAACCCTAGATATGAAAGCTTCAAGCTTTTTTAAACATGTTTCACCTAAAGTAATGTTGTTTTCCAGAAAACTTGTTTGAAAAGTTGACTGACTATATATACCGGGGTTGAGTACTCTATCCGTCACGTTGAGAGATTACATATTCTGTTTTGTTGTTTTGAGATGTGTTTTTCTTAATAAATATAAAACATTTTCAAAATATACTTTTAAGGAGAAATAAATTTAATTTTTATAACTACGTGTTTAAATGTTAAATATAAATAATTGCAAAAAGTATATAAGAAATCATAATAATAAAGAGAGCCTTTGAAAATCTTACTTCTTACTAATAATATAAATGTAAAAGTTTAAATGGGTGTTTGTTACTCAATCACGGTTAAACGGCTAAACGGATCTGGATGAAATTTGGCACAGACATAGATTATAGTTTAGCACATAGGTTACTTTTTACCCCGAAAAAGGAACAGTTCGCGTGAGATAGATTTGTTTCTGGTTTGGATGAGCCCCTATCATATAATATTTTTCTTTTCTTAATATTTAATTATATACTTTTTAGTTTTCAAATATATTTTTTTTATTTTTCTGTATTATACTGAATTATAGCTCTCTTATTTATTGGTTCATTTCTGTTTTTATATTTTTCTATTTACAATATAATTGTAAATATGTAAAAATGAAATTTAAATAGCACTGTATTTATGCACGCTGTGTCATCTTACAATTGGTGTACCAATTGTAATTGCATATCTTCCTTCACAGTTAGCTACCGTGGAAAATCTCTGTTTCAGAGAGCGCGCGGGATCTGTGACGAGCAACACCTGGCCGGAGAACTGCAACATGTCAAGCAAGTTCTGCGTAACAACAAGCTGCAAGTGCCGCGCCTGCGTCACAGTGACCGAGTAAAACCAGCCACAGTCGAGCGCGTCCCTGCAGTTTTGCCATACATGAAAGGAGTCACTGACAAGATTGGCTACATTCTAAAGCGAGCTTCAATTTAGTCAGTTCTTACCACCTGTCAAGTGCCACATCCCTCTACAAGATGCAGGAGTCTACAAGCTTGATTGTGATTGTGGGCTCTCTTACATTGGACAAACAAAACGATCCATTAGAACCCGGGTCAAAGAACACATAGCTGATGTGAAGCACCGTCGCAATACAACATCTGCTGTCTGCAAACATAGCCAGGACCGCCCAAGCCATTATATTCGTTTCGATAGACCTCAAATCCTGGCGAAAGAAAACCGATATCGCCTGGCTGGGTACTACCATCGTCATGGGATCCTGTTATTAATATAATAAAATCAAATAATAAATATAAACATAACAGACAGGCAGATGTAGTAAGTTCATACTGTGTAGATCAAAATGACAGCTTATCAGATTAATATTTTTCATTTGTAAAAGTATATATTAATAGTGTTGCTTAGTAAGTTGTTTTTAAATAATAGCAAACTAAATTAAAATGATTATCCGTAATTAATTTTAACTTTTTAAATTACACATAGAACAATTATATGGCTTTAATAATTAATACTATATTTTTATATTTTTTATTTATGGTTATAAATATAATAATGGCAACACTAAATATAGATTACTAATTAATATTTTTAAAATTGTAATAATTATAAAAATAATAGCAAAAATTTAATAAATAATTTTCCATATTCAATTATAATTAAAATTATAAAAAATGTTTAAAGTTAAAAATATTGTAATGTAATTGGTGCAAACATTTTGTTAATTGTGGGTAGGCTGTCTGTAACAACTATATCTTTAAGACATGTAACACCTCAGTCTCTCCCGTGACCATGGATGCTGTAAAGCATTCGAAACGTCGGGAACCAAAAATCAAAATAAATCCGCGAAATAATCCGAATAGATAGTTTTATTTAAAAATGCATATCTTAAATTAAATTTTATAACTATTGTTATGTATGTATGTATTCAGCCCTTTTTGACGTCCCACTGCTGCGGGCCTCCCTTCGATACGAGGGGGATCAGGCCATAGTCCACCACGCTGGCCAAGTGCGGGACTATTGTTATGTATTAATGTTTATCTATAACTATCGTTCTATTTAATTTTTAACAAATAACAACTCACGATTCTTATCACGTCATGAAGTAGATAAGTATACTTAACAACTAAGTATTGTATATAAAACAAATGTGGTGCGGGTCGCCGACAAACGATAAGAACGTTTATGTCAAAGAAAGATAAAACGTATAATAACAACTTCATTTTGTTTTACTGCTACGAGTAGTAATGGACAAATATTTTGAAGGAAAACGGGTTTTAGTAACAGGAGGATGTCAAGGTACTGCTTTGTACATTTTAAAAATAAATATAAATTGTATTAAAAATATGTTTAAAATGTAATTTAAAAAAAATGTTGTAAATGTGTCATTTTCTAGGTATTGGAAAAGGCATAGTGTTAGAATTATGGCGGTTGGGAGCAAATGTCGTAGCGCTTTCTCATCAAGCAGACAATTTAAATAAACTCAAAAATGAGTACCCTTCCATAGAAATAGCTTGCGTAGACCTTTGTGATTGGGACAAAACTCGAAAAGTTATCGATTCTCTGGGCGTCTTCGACGGTTTAGTCAACTGTGCAGGGTTCATTTACAATCAACCATTTTTGGAATGCTCACCAGAGATTTTTGCTATGTAAGTAAATGTGTATTGATATTTCATCAATCAAGTAGTAAATTGTATTCAGCCCTTTTTAATGTCCCACTGCTAGGCACGGGCCTCCCTTCAATACGAGGGGGATCAGGCCATAGTCCACCACGCTGGCCAAGTGCGGGTTGGCGGACTTCACATGTCTTTCGAAAACTTGCTAGGTTCTCTCAGACATGCATGACAGTAAATACTTACTAAATTTGATTACGCTTTTATTATGTTAATACTTTATGAATTTCAGGACAATGGATGTTAACGTAAAAGCCATTCTAAACGTTAGTCAAGTGATAGCAAAGAAAATGATCGCTAATAAAATTAAAGGAGCGATCGTTAATATATCTTCTCAAACGTCGATGGTATGGTGTATTTTTAAATATAAACTTGCTAATGTTTGTAGCTCGTCCGCTCTTGCAGATCTATTTAGACTACTACCTCTAAGCAGCCCTCACGTTAGAAATGTCTAGGTGTTATCGAAATATGTTTTTTTTTATGTTAAATAAATAAATTTATTTTTATGGTGATGTAAATTTAGTAAACAAAAAAAAAAGGATACCCAAAATACCTTTTTTATTTGGAATATTATTAAAAGCTTTCGATTGTCAAGTAACACCCACCTATAAATCCAGCCCGGACTAAACATGACCCTAGCAGCTATATTTATAGCAGTATAGTACCTACGATAAACTACTTTTCCAATTGAAAAATTATCTAAAGATAATCGGGCCATTTTTGATTATTATGCATTTAAAATGTATAACTTCATTTGACTTTATTTCGTGTCCCCAAACATAAATAAAAAATATTCAATGTACAAAACAAAAAGTTTGTTATACACTTAAAATATGATCGGTTTGTACTCGTATAATACCGCATTATAAAGCCTATATAATATAGAGGAACAAAACGTTTTCTAACATTATGACACGACCCTATATGAGGTATTCATTTAAACATAAATAAACTACACGACAGCCACAGGCAAGCTAGTAAACAATATTAATACTTTTATTTATAGGCTGCAATAAAGGATCACGTTGCCTACGCTTCGTCCAAAGCAGCTGTAGACGCGATGACACGCGTCATGGCGTTGGAGCTCGGTCCACACGGAATAAGAGTAAATGCAATCAATCCAACAGTAATTTTAACAGAATTAGGCAGACGAGCCTGGGCTGATCCGGTAAAAGCCCAAAATATGCTCTCAAAAATACCTTTGGGAAGGTAAATATTCAATTTAAGTTTCTTTTATTCATACAAATTTATACAAGCTTTTAATAAGTTCCAGCTTCTAGATTCACTTAATGTTTAAATTTTGGAAGCCGATATAATCTATTTTAAATTGTGTTTACAATTTTGTGTAAAATACGATCGACAATACAAAAACGAATATCGAACTGACCTCATGGAACAAGGTGGTGGATACTGAAACTCCTGTATATTTAAACCTTCAAGCTTTGGAATCGTTTGAATAATTTTGACCGTCCGACCGAGTCCCGTAAAAAGCGTGTAGTTATTTTATAAATAGTTTTATCTTACAAAGTTTAAATATATTTATCATAATTACACCCATTTATACAGGTTTGGTGAAGTACACGAAGCAGTAAACGCAATAGTGTTCCTTCTAAGTGACAAAGCCAGTATGATCAACGGAGTTCAACTGCCCGTCGACGGAGGGTTTCTCGCTACATAAATATAATAAATAAGTACAACAACAGATAAGTTTTATTTTATTCAGTTTATTGTGCCAAAGGAATCAATACATACTGGACGTAGAAAATAATGCAAGCATAATGTATGTAATAAAAGCATATTAATATGCCAAGCTGCCAGCTCGGCGCCAGCACATACAGGTTGCGTAAACAAACACGACCACATAATGTAAACCAAACATCGTCCAAATACAAGACCTATAGTTTTACATATTAGTAGAACAATATACTCAAAAATGGAGGGAACACACTCATCCCCTTTGCCCTTAAATTTAGAATTTATTAAATCCATTAAAAGCATTCATTTTCTAATGCCCTTATCCTACGTGTACTGATACGTCCCCTCCTCCTCCTCCTCCTCCTCCTCCTCGCTACGGAAATATGGAGCCAATAGAGATATTAAAGAATAGCCAAAAATTATACGAATTTAACACTACAACAGTTACGTAATTATTTTTTACCTAGGATATTGTAAAAAACAGTGTACCTGACTTAACTAAGTACCTTACTACTTAGACAGTGTTACAATTATTATATACAAAATTAAGTCGATAAGTCTTTCGTCGGTCGGAGCGGACACCGACACCTCACGTCTCACTCGCCGATAGATTACATACAATCTTAACCTGTCTAACATAATCACGTCTAAAGTATTAGTAAAACAATATCGTTAAAATATATTTGGGTATTAATAACATACTAACATTCCAATATTACCGAAGTCTCGAACTAAAATATGCCAACGTTCAGTTATTGGCACTCGACTATGAAGCATACGTCGTAGCTCGTCGCTGCGATCGTTACGACGTGAATTAAATTCGAACTCAAGTAAGGTCAGTAAAAAAAAATGCTAAAAATACTGTTGACTAAACTTACAATTACTAAAATTTTAGATATAAACCGGCAGGCGCATTCCGCAACCTCGACAGGTGCCTCAACAGCTCGCTGCAGTTGTTTCACAACGTTATCTACGAACATTCCGACGCGCTCGGTACCAAATGAATCACCAATAAAGTGGACTTTAACAACTAAAAACCTTACGTAATATCTTAATAGCGGGACTCGCGGTCCCTTTCATCGATCCTTTAACAAAATACTAACTATTATAATATTTACATAAAATTGAACCTAATTCTCAGTCATATTAGAGATGGATGGTCGAGTCCGATTATGATTATTTGCACACATCCAATCTAAGAGAATCGTTAACTTTAATTAATTATATACAATCATCCCGCCAGATTATGCAACCGATAGTCGTCGTAAGGCATGGATAAAGTTAACACGCTATAATGTAATATGGAACATCGTATCAATAAAAACCACTACAATATCCTATGAGATACATATTGGATTATATATAAAACCAGCAAGTGTGAAATTAGTACTAAAATATTATTCCATGTCTCGTAGCCTAGAAAGTAGTCTCGTTAAACAATTCGATAGAGTAGAAAATATACAGTCATTATATATCATTTATCCTTTACATTTATTAAAACTTATCTCCCCATACAATAAATCCTTAAAAGTATTTTGCCCGTGTTTTTTATTTAAATTCTACAACTAACAAATTGTAAAATTTAAAGAAAAATAACTACTGAATACTTAGTTGACGAGATAGTTGTTAATAGAAATGGTGCGAAAAAATGTTAATTTATCTTAAATGTTAGATAATAGTTTTGAAATCATAAACAAACTAAATCTGTATAGTGTTTAAACATCATTTTAGCAATATCATTACTGAATACCTGTAGAGCTATCTTATATTTGAAGCAATCGACATGCGATAGTCAAGTCACGCAGTTGTAAAACTAACAAAATTAATAATGCTACATCTACACAATGGTGTCATTAAAATCATTAAATAAACCATATAAGAACAAAAATAATTTATATTTGCTTGTCGAATACAATACAATGTTAAAAATAAACATTACTGTCCATGAAATTTCATATTTAAATATTGTAGAAAATTATTCTCATATAGTAATAGTGCGTCGATCACCGAATGTGATTGATATAAAACAATCGCCTTATTTATATAAACACAGCTTACAAATTAAGTTACAAACGTGAAAGATTTTGGTAAATTACATGAGATCAATTTCATTTAGACAACATCATGGACAGGTTTGCATTAGGAATGTGTTCCCATCGCGTCGCCGAATAAACAACTTTATTGTCTTCCACCAAAACTGAAATCAATTTGTATGCAAATCTAAGGTAAGCTAAGAATCTAACAGAGGTCGATCATTTTCAGCAAAGTAACTTACCTAATTAACCTATGGCAGTGGCTGGACGTGTCGCACTGATTTACACGCAATGTTAGATTAGGCAAATGGTTACAAAAAAAAAAATACAAGAGCATCGACAAAAGGATATGGAAGACAATTGATTTTGAAAAGAATAAAATCTTATTGCACATGAGCTCCCATAAGTAAAATTAAATATAAATTCATGTAGAGTAGCAATTTTTAATTAATAAAACAAGAAAAAAAAACCACAAAGTTATTTTTAATCGCCGACAACACAGTACAGCGATTTATTTAAAACCAAGACATTTTCTTTATACTATGTAGATATTCGATCGGTTTGACCAATGCAATATAATGATGGTATTAATTAGACTGCAGTCCAGAGTCACTCAAGTAAATGCATCGAATAAAGTCCCCCGTCGCTCGGCTCCACTCTAGACCATAGACAAATTGACAACACAACGCTACTATCGTCCACACACGTCCCTTACATCTAAATATAACTGAGCATAAAGTACAATAGACGTACAGACGGGCCTATCTACGCTACTCGACGAGCTCAACGAGTCATTAGAAAATCGCGGGGCGATACCGACCACCGGGTACCGGGTAAAAATAATTTACAATACACGAATCGCGTACGAAATATTCCTATCGACACGCTCATATCGGCTTCACTTTTAACTAACGTGTAATCAAATATCGAAAGTCAATTTAAACCTACGTCTAACGTCGTATCGAAACGAACCTGTATATATACTATATAACATATATAGTTCGGGTGACAATATTACAATTCGGTATGTCGGAGTCGAGGACGGGCGCTCGGCTCGCGGCTCATCGGTTTCGTTTTACCATTTCCAATACATAGAGTTCGTCAAAGCGTGTTCGTTAAACTATAGAACTAATTATTTAAACACTTCCGTCGGTCTCTCGTTCCCTGCGGGCTGCGGGCTGCGGGCGGCGCCTCACCGCCACTCGGAGATGGCGGCCACGGTGGTGCCGGGCTGCCCCGCCGCGCCGGCCGCCGCTGTTGAAACAAAACACATTTAAAAATCATATGCCTATTCGATAAAACTATCTTTTCGGATTATTTCGCGGATTCTTTTTGATTTTTGGTTCCCGACGTTTCGAGTGCTTTACAGCGATCGCGGTCACTGGAGAAATCCTCGAAATAATCCGAAAAAATAGTTTTATTTAAAATGTCATATATTCGCGTAAATCTAAGAAGGTATTAATCATGCCTATTAAACCCAACATTAAAATACAAAGCACGTAAAATAATAGCATTTATAAAAAAAATAAGCCCTACTATAAAAAACATTTGATTTTGACATATTATATATAACAAATCATGTCATATATGTGTAACGCATAACTTCAGGTAAAATAGTACATAAATACCATTACCATAAAATAAAAAAAATAAGCCCTATAATAAAAATATTTGATTTGGATGTGAGTGAAAAGTGATCAAATAAGACACCTGCCAACTGCTATCCTATCTTACACTGTTGTGAAATGTCCTACCGTCTTATTAGGAAAGTTAGTTTGAGCCCATTTTAAATCACTAAGAACGGTAGAACGATACAACACGACAAAACTATGAACCCTAAAGCAATCCATTAAGCATATTTCGTTCCCATTCCGAGCCTGCGACACTTCAAACCGGTCAACGCTAAACGTGAAGCCCAAGTGTTACAACGCTATGACCTGCATACATTATCAATATGAAAGACGAACAGTCACTGTATATTGTGAAATGAACACATATCTTTAAATGCATAATACTGACTGTTTTCTTGTTCCTGGTTTTGGTCGTGACGTCTTAAGGTGCGGTCGTTAGTTGGATTCACGTAGAGGCGGGGAAACCCTAGGAAAGAATAGATGAAGTTTCAATTGTATGTAGTTACTGGCGGACCCGACAGACGTTGTCCTGTCTACACGTCTTTAATTTGAAAATTTCAAACTTTTTTTAATAATTTTTTTGATGAAAATTATTATTCAAATTGTGAATCTAAACCATTCCCAGATCCCCTTGAACACACACAAAAATTTTCATCAAAATCGGTCCTGTCGTTTGAGAGAAGTTCAGTGACATACACACTCACAGAAGAATTATATATATAAAGATATGCTATACAGGGGTATGCATTAGCACAGTCGTGTCGAGGGCGTGGGATATTCGCTGTTCATACAATGTATGAAATGGTACATATTAACATGTTATTAATTCGTTCCCAGGTAATATAAAAATAATGAATATGAGTAACCCACTAAAAAAAAATATGTTAATGAAAATTTGATTGCATTCGATCTTAATGATGTATTGTGTCTATCTATACATATGTAAGTTTTTTTTTGTTTGATAGAGATTATGAGACCAGTGGTACGATGAGAGACATGTATGGGCTGCACATTTACACTAAGCGGTTTCAGGTTCAAGTAATAAAAAAGGACTAATAATTGATAAGCAATTTTCGATAAAAATATCAATAAACACCTATCTAAAACGGAGATATGTATGAATAAAAGGCTCTATTATCTTAATAATATGTTTAGATTAGGCTTATTGGCTCACATTTAAGTCCTAAAGTTGGGCGGTGAGAGTGAGAGAAGCAAAAATCAACAAAATGATAAAACACAATTGCAGATAATTATATAGCAACAATGTCGACTAAATATAATATAAAGAAACAGATATAGTACATACCGAACTTGAGCATGTTCCAATCGTAGACGAAGTCGTACGTGAAGCCCTGTCGGTGGAACAGCGTGCGGAAGAGCTGGCGCAGGTGGCCGTAGTCGGGCCGCTCCTCGAAGCGCAGTCGCCGGCAGTACTTGAGGTACAGCTGGAACTCGATCGGGTGATTCTGGAATCATCCACTTTTATTATCGGCATTGATTTTTACAAAAACACAAAACACGTATAGAACTGTCTCCTTAGAAAAATCGACACGATATTAAACAACATATAAATACACATTTTTTCACGTTTTCTATTAGAGATACCAATTGTAGAACGCCATCTTGTGCGTAGGCTCTAAGGAAAAAAATAGCAATATGTCCTTTTTAATATATAATTTTATGATATAAGGTTTCCCATATTAACTCTCGAAAGAAATATTTATTATATTAGCATTGAGCAATGAATGTAAGCCAAAAAACATTACCATTCTACTCAAATCTACAGTAGTCTCCGAATATATGTCGAACAACTCTTTCTTTGGTATACAAATTTGAATCAACAGAACAGTTAAGAATCCAATCAATTTTCATAGATCTTTCTTCATAAAACATTACACCTAGGCAACTCGACTGCCACCAAAGCCGTATGATTTAGTGACCATGGGCTTTTTCTTTGTGAGCTACTATATACCACGGGTATATGAGCATAAACTGATGGCTTAAAAATTTAAATAAACAGTACTATTTACTATCAAGCACCAGTCATATGCTTGAGTCAGAGCCGGGTTTAGACGAGTGCAACCTGAGGTGTAACCCCAGAGCTTTTACAAAAGCAAACCCACTACAATAGGATTTTCGGGATGTTTTGAATTTCATTATTTATGTGAAATTAATGAATTCGTCTTATGTACAACAAAACTAAAAGAAGAACGCCAAAAGAACTTCTTTAATTTATATTATTGTAAAGTTTCATTAAAATCCATTCAGTAGGTTTTGCGTGAGAGTAACAAACATCCAGACATCCATACATCCTGACAAACTTTCGCATTTATAATATTAGTATAGATAGTATGGATATTACATATCGTTTAAGTGTGATACCAAATTACTTAGTTGATATTATACTTCGATACTAAGGTATAATTAATGTTTTTTTTTTTTTTCGTATTTATTAAAGTTATATATATTAGATTCATTATATTTAAGTGTTAATTTTATAAATTGAAACTTGCATTTGTACCAATAATAATATAATGTAAAATATATTTAAAACTATAAATATAAATAATTTTCTAGGAAAAAAAATATATATGGAATTGCAAAAATGCTAAAAGTTAATATATCAATACAATGTTCGCCCAGCGGTCGAAATTCGATCATAACTATTATTGGTAATTCGAGGAAAACAAGTATACATTAATAAGATTTACCCATCTATACAAAAAAAATGTTTCCAATTTTTTTTTATTAATAACACTAACGCTCGTCAATAACTACTAAACAGAAAAAAGAAAACTTGATATACAGAGTAATAAAAGGTACTAAACTGTGTTGACTTCGACTATTTGTATATAGTTCATTGCATTATATATTACAAAGCTTCATAGAACTTTATAACCTCTGGAATTAAAAAAAAAAGAATAATAAGGAAGATTAGAAGTTATCTAACATCGCCCTTAGACACAATAGCGGGAAAGAGCTAGCAAGTACAGTGTAAACTCTTTATAACGAAACTAAAGGAACTGAGTATTTTTCTTCCTCATAGAGAGCTCTCGTTATATCGAGTGTCGAAGAAGTATAATCAAATTTTACAATAGCATTTTAATACATGTTTGCTTAAGTAGTTAATAGGTTATATATTAATATTATAAATAGACAAAGTTTGTATGTTTGAACGCGCTAATCTCAGGAACTACTAATCCAATTTGAAACATTATTTTTGCATTACATATCCCGTTTATTGAGGAAGGCTATTTATCATCAAAGGATCGGAGCAGTAATCATAAATGTCAACAAATCGGGCATACTTCCATACATTATTGTAAAATTATTTATATTAGGTATATAAATACATGGCTGTATAACATATAACAAAGCCAAAGAGTTTTATCGATCATATTTTATCCATGCTTTGGGATACTTGATCTCGATGGGCACATCATTAAACAATATGTATTTTTATTAGTTCAGTGGCACCGTGTGCTTCTTGAATAGCTGGTGGTGGTTCAGACTTGTTCACTCATTATCTTTTTCAACTTTATTTTGTTTCTCGTTGTATTTGAACACAATATATATATATATTTACTAGCGTCTAAAAATGAACGCATTTCCTCGTAATAGAGAATGACTGTCGCTTTATGTTTTAAGGTAAACCAATCGAATTGAAGTAATTTCTGTGTTAGAGGAAGTTTTTCGTTATAACTAACGACGTTATAAATAGTTTACACTGTAAATGGAATATCATATATGGCAAAACATTTTGTTTACTAACGACTTATCCTCGCTTCGCCCGGGTAAGTTTTAATTTTTTTGAGCAGAACTCTTTCTTTTTCTGAAATAAAAGTGGCCTATGTTACTCCTCATAACACTAGCTATCATCCAGTGAAAATCTCGTCAAAACCAGTCAAGCCGTTTCGAAGATTAGCCAGAACAAACAGACAAAAATTTATACAATTGTTTTTATATCACATATAATTTAATATACATTCAGTACAAAGCTATTATTTTGACATTACAAATTTCAATTTAATTTATGTGTATAGATTAAAACCGATAATATTGAAAAAAAATCAAATATCTACATGTTCAACTTACTTTGCACAGCTCGTCGAACGGTGTGGATAGTTTCTTTTCAGATATTCTCTCGTACTTCTGCCGCTTGGTGGCCGCCTTGAGTCCCTGCCACGGCAGGCTGCCGCGGTTGAAGTACATCAGCACGTAGCCCAGAGACTCCAGGTCGTCGCGGCGGGACTGCTCGATTCCTAAATGAGTGTTAATTGATGCATATCTTGCTGTGCCTATAAATAAAATGACCATTTTATTAGTAAATTGAGCTCTAAATTTCTCACAAGTAATTGAATAAGGGAACGGTTATGAATTACGTCACGGAATATTTCGCCCTTTACGTCATCACGCTTCCTTTGGCTTCGTTGGGGCGGTGTCACGTTTTCTAGAACTTTCATAATATTATAGGTACAAAAACATCTAATATTTGTAATTAATTTTATATCCTATCATAAAATTAAATGGTGTTTCTGCTTTCTTATTAACAATTGAAAATAAAATATTAACGTAACATAATTATTAATAATTACATTCAATAATAACAAATAGTTAAAGTAGTAAGGCGTCGTAAATGCTGCTTGAGTTTGACGAACTTTTAAAAAAACGCTAAAAATATAACATAGTTTATAGAAAATGTATGGGACAACCTGACTATTACTTAAATTTCTTTAACTTCATCTATATTAAATACAGCTATAGGTTTAAAAAAATGCACATAAGACACCAAAGAGATTTAAAATTTTCAAAAGAAATATTAGTCTGAATTCTTAATAATTTATTAAATATTTAGTCATACCTAGCCCAATATTATATGAACAATAACGGAAAAAATAAAATTATTATAAAAATATATATGTATGAATCACAAAAAATTACATACATTATGTTACGATGCAATGATTCATCACAGATTATTTTTAAAATTCCTCTACAATTAAATCTCTGTGGATATATAAATCAAATTTTATTCTTTAATCCTACAAAAACCAATTTCAAAAGCCAAATTAAGGCAGGTAGCATTAGACTGTAGAATACAAGTTAGCACGATTGGTGTCTATGATAGGACAGTTTCTCACGACCTTTACTTGTCCTTAGTCGATTCACAAGTCTCAGTTATATATGATTCAATTGTAATTCTTACTGATGAATAAAAAACAATTGTATATAACAAAAAAAAACATTAAACAGAGATATCTGTTCAATCATATGGCAGTTGTGATGGAATGTGACCAGCACGATACAAAGACATGTCAACAGGTGGCAATGAAACAAGAACAATTTATTAGTTTACTCACCTGTCAAGTTTTTGTTTTCTCTGTATGGTATATGCTGATTGGTGCGGGGATCTTTGTACTTCTTCGCTAATCCAAAATCTATTATGTATACTAAATTCCCCCTCTTACCGAGGCCCATTAAAAAGTTGTCTGGTTTAATATCCCTAAAATATATTAAATAATTAACTTGACTGTATAGACAGAGAAATAAATAAAAATAAATGAAGAACAATATGGAATTTAAATACAAAAGTACAATTTTATTAAATATGTTGAGGATAAAAGTGCCTAATAAAAATTTATATAATATTCTTCGAATTAAAAAAACAACAATTTTCAAGTCTAATAATTTAATCTTATTTAGTAATTGCCATTTTACCATAATGGCACAAGTTTGATTGGCATTGCTTTCTATACCAAACTATGTTTGCCCAAATTTTAAAGAGAAGTTCTATTTTAAACTGCATTAGCCTATAAAATTAAATAATATTTTTGTAATGTCTAAAAAATATTGTAAAATCATAGTATGTTCTGAATGTTGCAGAACAAACATGGCCATTGCCTTGGCCTCGCTACCCAATATAACAATTGACACCATTAATATTTGTACTCATAAAAGTTTATGGAAGGGGCTTAAAAATCAAATGAGCACTTATTTCTTAAATTTTCTATATTACTGTGCTAATTCAGCACAAATTAAACTACAAAATTATAATTAATTGATTTATGAATAGTATTTTTAATTATTACTTTTACTTAGTTTAAAAATACTGGAGTAAAGGTACTACGAACTGCCTAACCTTAAAAACGGAACAGTAATGCTGTTAGTCACAATTTAAAAAAATATATTTGTATATATATAAATTATTATATATATAAATGGAAATATTCTGTAAATTGAATTAAAAAATAATATTGTGGAAATTAAAATCTATATTTAATGGAAGGTACTAAAAGAACACATAGACAAGTGTTGATTATTGTTTAGTTCTTATCTGTAACCTACAGCATGACCTGCATTAATTGTAAATATGAATGCCGTGACCATTTTATCATTACATATATCATAGAAGGAAACACATTTCATTCTTACTTGCTTTATATTATATTACTGACCTGTCCAAACATATTTTGAGAGACTTTGTAAACTTTATACATTATCCATTTTAATATAAATATATTGGGACATTAACACACAGCACCATCTAGTTCCATGATAAGCTACAATGTTTGAGTTATGGATACCAGATAGTTAATACACTATACAAATATAGCTTTAAATAAATACATAATATAAATCTATACACCCATGACTGGAGTACAAACATTTGTGCTCATCACACAAATGAATGCTCCCAACAGGGCTCAAACCAGTGTCCTCTGGCACAGCAAATAGGGTGCTGAGCCAAATGTGTTGTCAAAAATCAATTAATAAGTATACATAATCTATGAATGTTGATTGATAAATGTATGGTAAGTTTTTTTCTATGTAGGTTATGCATTATTGATAAACATTAATTGTACTAGTTTACATATATACTCATTTCTTTTTATTAAATGATTTTATTAAAGTGTGCAGCCGTACATGCTAGCCACTACACCACCAAGGCAGTTTATTAAATAATACATAACAAGTAAAACTAAAATATAAACAAATGTATACCTATGTATGAAGCTCCTATAATGTATGTCCTCAATGCGATTAATAAGCTGGTCAGCAAGGATGAGTACAGTCTTAAGGGAAAAGCGTCGTGAACAAAAATTAAAAAGATCCTCTAAGGAGGGTCCCAGTAGTTCCATTACCATTACATTATAATCTCCTTCTGTACCACACCATTTTATTGCAGGTATACCAACTGTTGAAAGAAGAATTGTAAATTAAGTAGGTAGAAGGATACCATGTTCGTATTTTGATATAATATTTAAAGAGAGATGATTAAAGTTAGCATTAGCAAATATTTTACAAAATATCATGGCTCTTAACAGATTTTCTGACACAGAAGCCTATCTCACTGTGACTAGTAACTATGTAAGATAATTATAGTGCTTCAATAAGTGTGGATAAAGGATTAAGCATGGGTTTGAAAACTTAACATGTTCTCTATGATATCCATATTTTTTTATACTGTGTACAACAACACAACACAACTATATCATATTTTCCCAACTTCAGCTTATTAAGAATTGTCTTAATTTTCTTGACAAAACATACAAAAAACCAATAATATTTTTAGCCCATCCCACAACTCAATTCCACCAAATCCCCTCAAACAACCAAGATTCAAGATCAAACATGTATTTAGTTTATAATCTCATTTCAATATAGATGTAACTAGATATGTAAATTTAGGTTTTACTTACTGCCTCCTTGCATAAGTTTATAAAATTTGCTTTCTATGTGTAACTGTGGATGTCTTGTCTTTTTACATTCTAATTTGATGGCTACTTCCTTTTTTGTAACTATATCTGTGCCTGCAAGATAAATATGTTTATGAAATATCATAATTAAAAACAGTGCAATACAATTTATTATGATTTATTTCACTGCATAATAATTAAAAATAAAATAAAACATGCAACTATTTAGATGCAATTGCTTCCACAAGTGGGATTTATAATTTGATTGCTTAGGTTAAATTTTCTATGTCCTTGCAATCTTGGCTACCTTATTTACTTATTTTAATATTCCCTAAAATTAACATATACTATTATAGGTAATTATTCTTAGGTAGATCTTCGATTTTTGCGCAATTAATTTAATTGGTATTCAATAATTAATTAGTTATATCATTTTAAAGTTAAGACCCAGCATGTCACATGTTATCATTCATTTGATCTGTTAATAATAGCAGTTTATACAGCATCCATGATTCTAAAATATTGTAAGTCGAATCATTGTCATCTAATGAGCATGTACCATGAATGGAGTTGAAGCTATTTCGAAACAAAAAAAAGTGCAGCTGGCCTACAATAGTAACCATCTTTCTTTGTTTACAACAATTTCAATTTCAGCTTACCTAAATAAATGTCTCCAAATGATCCTGACCCGATTTTACGGCCTAGTCGGTATTTATTACCGACGCGAAGCTCCATTTTAATATTTTGCATGAGATGAAATTACTATAATATCACTGACCACCGAATCATTACAGGACGGCCATATTTGCGATAGACGCAGATCTTTATTAAATTGAACTCGTTAAATTTCTAGAAATTATATTAAATTTAAGATGGCTGTAATCAATTGTTTGTCTTGTGATGACTGCAAATAGTTATATTTGCTTCTTTTCTTTCACAAAATACCTAATATTTAACAAAATTATTTTAATTTTACACACACGCATCTAAGAGGAATTTTTGTATCTCAACTCAATCTCACACTCATTCTCTAGCATTTTCTCATTCACAGATTATATTAGTTAAATTGCTCATTCGATCATTCATTCTTTATTGATGCAATCAAAATAGAACCTTTTTTGAATGGGGAAGTATTTTCCTTTTTCTCCCGACAGATGTCACGATCGCTATGAGCCTCAGTATATTGTAAAGATCGCTATAAGCCTCAGTATATTGCGAGGATGGTTTTTTTTTTTTCATTTTATTTGATATTTAATTAAAATGCAAATTGTGCAGTACCAGAATGCAAAGAAAATGGATATCATTTGTTCTCAAAAGACTAAAACTGAAGAAAATGTGGGAGGATTTCCGGGATAAAAAATATCCTATGTCCTTCCCAGGGTCTATCTTCTTACCAAATTTCATCGAAATCGGTTCTGTAGATCCAGAAATTGCCCCCGACAACGTCAGAAACTCACAAACTAGGTACCTCTTTACAATATTAGTAACTATAGGTATATTCTACCAGCCTTTATAAAAAATGAGGAACTGATTATTAAGTTTTTCAAGCTAATAGTCATCTCTAGCATTATTTATTAATTATTGCACAAGAATTTAATTCTACAGGAGTGGTAGATCCTAATGAGAGAAAATAGTTCCTTTTCCTATAATAATCTGAATAGGTATTGAAAGTAAAAATTCTTGCCCTATACTTACCCTACACTGAACATGAAAAACCCATTCAGCTGTTTCGAATATTAACTACTGCCTAGCCCGGACAGATAAATAATAAACATACAGCCAAACTGGTTCTTTTGTGGCAGCTATATCGAAATTAGCAATAAGCATGTTAATTCTTGATCATTAAGATTAAAATGTATGTAAATTGGTTTATGTGTCCTTTTATAAATATCTTTTTATTCCTTCATTGAATGACCTTTAAAAAGAGTCTGTATTATATTTGGTCGTTAGATATATACATAATAGATATAATTGTACACTTATACGCACATATTTATTCCCAACGGGCTCTAAATCCGCTACCACTGGCATAGAGTATATATGCCCGAGAACATTTTTTTATATAAATATAAAAATTGTTCTCGGGCATGTATACAATCCATGTATTGTATTATTTCTCCATTTCGGATTTCAAGTCCTTTTTGTGTTTCTGTAGGCATTATTAGCATAACAATTTTGCTTTTGACCATCTCAGCTACATCGGAAGGGTTGACGGCAAGAACTAAGAGACTGAAAACACAAGTAGGTCTGTGGGCTGGTTCGACAATCGACAGTACAAAAAATGGAAATACGGGGAATTGTGACTTGTGAGTTGTAACTGGCCAGATTGTACCTTATACTAAAACAGTAATTGTCCCTGATACAGTTTGAAGTAAATATTATATAATATTTATGGCAAAATCTATGTATACAAGAATAAATTGTAATAAAAAAATATATTTATTATGCATATAAATTTTATTTGTATAATTCATTATTTCGGTATATTTTCCGAGTCGTACTTAAAGATAAATAATATATCTCAAGATCTTAATACACATCTAAATCACAATGTCTATAATATTAATTAAATGTCTAGTATGATTTGACAAAATGCGATTTGCAAAATTATTTAAAAAATTTGAACTTACAATACATTCATCGGTAACTATAAACTGAGATTACATTAGTTACAATTAAATTATAGATAGGTACCTACTTTATAGAGTTGACAGGTAATAAGTTATTTTTAAATAACCTTTAAAAAAAATATATAGGACTTTAATTTGACTTGTTGTATGCTCCAGTTTATAAACAACAAAGCATTTAAAAAGAGCGTACAATAATTAAAATTTTAATTTTAATAAAGAATTGACAGAATACTAGTATCATTTAACTAAAATGTCTCTATAATATTTAATTGGCACCTCGGGAGAGACTTTTTTTATAGTTTTGGATAATTTATAGATTCATGAAAATACTTGTAAAATTAAACATAAAAATCAATAAGGCATTAGAAGTAAATAATTTGGAAATTATGAAGCACACCTTGTACTTATTTGTTTATGTACCATGTACCGCTTATTTGAGAAGCGCTGACCATGCACGTTATGATGTTCTTACAATAATTCATTTAAATCTTTTTGGAGTAATAAAATTTATATAAAAATCAACATTATAAAATATATAGATAAAAACAAAAACTTAAAACAAATTGAATGCGTGGTTTTCTAAAGTTACTCCCCTTCTATAACGTGTTAGATGTCTTGTTTCCAGTTTTGGTATCACAGGTACAACAGTAACCAATTGTATATATTTTAAATATATATATATTTTCTTACATTAAAATAGCATCGTAAGTTTTAGTCATAAATAATCATGTCATGCAAGTATATCTACGACTAGGTAATATAGCATGTTTGTTCTCGATGTCCATACATTGCCGGGTAGTCGTAGGAGGGAACATGAAAGACAAAATATTTAGAATTAACACTATGTCGTGTTAACCCTAAATAATTCTGCTGAACGGTACTCGTATCGAGTTCGTGTCCATGCCTGGAGGTAAGCCGTAATTTAGGAGATCGTGAGTGGTCAAAGGCATTCTCTTGGAACTGGCGACGGATCTTCCCTGTCATGGTCGTTTGGCATGTTGTTATTCTGTTCTTGATCTCGGCTTAAAACAAACACCGGCTCTACATTTTCATCATCACTGTTAAACCTGTAAGTAGAAGACGGAAAAGAGAATAAGTAAAAAAAGGAGTATCAAAGAAAAGAAGAAAATGGATTTTATAGAATCAAACAATAATACTATTAATATTATTGTATTTGAGATTATATATATTAGTAGTTAAATGTAGTATAATATTTCTTGTTAACAGTATTAACTTACTGGTAACGAGGAACTTCTCCCCTCATTGTGCATATAGCGTTAGTGAGAGCTTTCACATAATTTTTGGCAAGGGTTAGTGTTTCTATCTTCGAGAGGCTTCGGTTGTCCTTCTTGACGTGGGGAATTACACGGCGAAGATCCTGAAAATAATTCAAATATTTTCTATATAATACTTCCATCGAACTTATTTCTCAAATATTTTAAAATACTTAGAACACTTTTGCTTAAATGCCGATGCGTTCAAAAAATTTACAACATATTTAACCAGCTAATACCGTACAACATAGCCGTTAAGTAAATTACTTTACAATTAATTATTATAATTGGTTAATTTAAGCTAATTTTACAAATTATATAATTACCTCGAACGCGCGGTTTAGCGAGTGCATCCGCATTCGTTCCCGTTCATTACTTTCCAATCTACGCAAATTACGCTCGCGGGCGGATATTCCACAACGGCGCCGACGGCCGGGTCCATTTGAGCCACTCGTGGTGCCCGAAGAAGACGAGCTGGCTGGTGTTCTTCGAGGTCGACACACTCGCCTTGGTACTTGCTCGTCACTGCCACTGCCACTATCGTAGAAATCTAGAACATTTTGTTACATACAAGCGTTAGGTGAAAGTCACGTCAGATAGCAATCTATTCTAATTTTTTTTTATGGTAGAGATAACAAGTGCTGGTAATACGTGTACGGTACCTACTTATTAAATTCGTCGTAATTGTCCGATTTTTATTGTTACCTATTTTACCATTTTACTAAATTGGTATATCGATAAAGATAGTCTATAGATATCCCTTACTAAGGGATAATTAAGCTTTGGCTTTTGAGTTGTCAGGACGAACGGCAAAACCTTTTTTAATGATTTTTGTAACTTCAGTCGTTATTCTATAATATAAGCAAACAAGTTTCTATTTTTATTACATGTAAAATTAAGTAATTATTGTTATTTTACGTAAAAATGTAATTAATTAATATGAAATCAACCATGTATAAATAAAATAACTGTAAATAATTTATTTATTAAGGTAGATATAAAATACGACATTTTTATTATAGGCATAGGTACACATTACACATGTATAACATGCATTGGTGCGCATGCGGGTTTGAATCTATGGTCGGGACACGTGATGTTCTCCTAGCCGATTCCGGCCACGGCGGCCAATCTCAATGAGATTAGCCAACTGCGCAGGAGATATTATAGTGCTCAAGTGTACGCGCAGACACAACGTGCACTCTCTATTCCTATCACTCTCATACTCCGGTGGGACGACCACTCGACACGACCGGTGAGAGTTAAGGCGCAGGACCGACGGCTTTACGTGCTCTCCGAGGCACGGGGGTGAAACACCGCCAACTTCCCAACTCCGGGCTGTTACTGAGACTTACTATACAGGAAGACTCAATAACTAAACTTGGCCCGACCCGGGACTCGAACCCAGGACCTCCGGGTGTGCAACCGTACATGCTAGCCACTACACCACCGAGGCAGTTAAGTCGGGACACGTATTCCTAGTTATTAGTTAGGCAGTGTTTTACCTTCCTTTACCGCCTGATTTTTAATTTACTTTTCGTGGCAAATTATTAACGTATCGAGCTTTGAGCAAATTACTAGTGTCATTTATATTGGCCATCACGCCACTGTACATATAAAAAAATATATTTTGGCACGCGCACGTCTATTCGCTATCTCTATTTGTGGATTTGTTTTAAAAGATTTTTAAAAGATTTTTTATAATATTTAGTTCTATGCTCAACTGGCACGCTTTGAAGTCATTAACATGATAATTGAATTGAATAAGCAGACTTTTAGTAAACTATGCTGTAAGATAGAGTTAGCCGCTAGTTGCTATACAACGCCTGAGTATATAATTTTACTGAAATTATCTTCTCACTTCCTACCAAGTACCTACCTACATATCGTTAGCTCACTATTACAAGGTTCTATGTTACAATTTTAGTACTTATTTAATATTTAGTTGTTAATGCTACAAGGTTCTATGTGTCATTAGCTACAGTTTTGCAAAAACAAACCACTAGATAGCAGCACTATAACTACAAAATATTCAATTTTACATAGTTCTATGTTGTTTTTTTTTACGATATCAAAATAACGAAGTTCTATGTAAAAATTACTAAACTTCATTAAAATTAACATAGAACCTTGTAATAGTAAACCAACGAATTATGTACATATGATTTACGCAATATTATGCACCTATAAATACTTAATTAAATTTATAGTTAAAAATCGAAAATATTTCAGTTTGTAATATACTCGTAGTATACCTACTTAATTCTATTTTTTATTTTTTCAACCGACTTCAAAAAGGAGGAGGTTCTCAATGCGACTGTATTTTTTTTTTATGTTTGTTACCTCAGAACTCCGTCATTTATTAACCGATTTGGACAATTTTTGTGTTGTTTGAAAGTGTATACTTCCAGATTGGTCCCATTTAAATTTCAAATAAAAATACCACCCCTAAGGGTGGAAAAATAGCTATTGATGAATTTAACCTACTTCTAATTGTCATATTAACTTTAAATTTGCAAGTATTTCTATTTCCGTTGATAGTACAGTGGTTCGGTATTGTTGACTTGATCTGATGGTAAGGCCAGAAGGTGGATAGGTGGAACTCTTTAACGGCTAATAGTAGATACTTTGAGTTTGGGCTTATTTTGTTTGATTTGACAAGCCTAACACGTTGGAATTCTTACTTTGCTACTACTGTCTACACTAAAAAGGGAAAAATAAAAACTTTTTAACAAAAAAATAAAAACCGACTTCAAACAAAAGCACTAAAAAGTAAAAAGTAACTGATTGGTAGTTTTCATTTACTGTAAATACCTAATCAAATATTTTCGATGTCGGTGTGCTTTGGCTAAGTAATAAAAGCCTACCTATTAAATACATACCTAATCAAATATTTTCGAAATCGGTGCCAGCCCATACAAAGCAAAGCACACCGACTTCGAAAATATTTGATTAGGTATGTATAGTAAATGAAAACTACCAATCAGTTATTTTTTACTTTTTAGTGCTTTTGTTTGAAGTCGGTTTTTATTTTTTTGTTAAAAGTTTTTATTTTGGAATTTATATTTTTATCATTATTTCTGCCACAGGGTCAGTTTACGTCGTAATCTGCTAATTACTATTGTCCATCCCTTTATCATTTTAGAGAAAATGATCTAAAGGTACATCAGAACCTACCTTTTTTTTTTAACGTTAGGAAATGCATTTACGCACGACGTGTGGGACTCACCGGCGTAATACAGCCAGTACTACCCACTAAAACCCAACAAAACCTTCCCCCGTCTTAATGGGGCGTCGCAGGATCGCTTACGCATTCAACTACGACGCCCCGACGGCAGGTCTGCCGAAGCAGACCACAACAACCACGGGGTTACTCCAAGGTCCACTCTGCTATCAGAGAAGTACCAGGAGCAACCCGCAAGGTACACCGCCCCCCGAAGAGGGCCACCTCCCACCGCCCACCGAAGTGGGCAACCTCCCTGTGCGTTTCTTAGCTTCGTACTACTACTACTGAGCCCCCCACCACGACAAGGTGAACGCACGTTGGGGGGGACATCAGAACCTACCTATCTCATTAAAAATTAGCACAATAATTAAATATGCAAATTTACTTCAATAATATTTCCAATGTAAAGCATAGATTTGGAGTTCGTACTTTAGCAAATGTGAATATTTGCTAGGTACTTATTTATTTACTGTCATTTTAATTTACTGTACATTTATTTAATTTATAAAAGCGATGTATTTGTGTACGTTTAGGTACTTTTTTATTTATGTCATTACGGTTTAACTACATATGATATTTTTTGTCTATATTTATAGCATACTAGCGACTCACCTCGAGTTTGTCTCTCGTTGTGTTTTAACAGAAAGCTTAGAGAAGAAATATTTTCTCGCAGTAAAAAGTATCCTATATGTTGACCCGGATAACCAGCTATCATCACACCAAATTTCATCAAAATCTGTCCAGTGGTTTTTTAGTGATGCGGTAACAGACAGACAGACAGAGAGACATAAATTCTACAAACTATAGATTCGGCTTCTATATCAATAATAATGTCTATTTCAATAAGATTTTCCTAAAAATATTTAATATACAGATTTGGCTTAGTTAGAATTTTATTATATGTATAGATTTGATATTACCATTAAATTACACATACGTATACGTTAACTCGATTATTTTACTAAAAATGGAGAAAAATGTTGATGTTCACGTAATAATATGGATTCGATACATACTCGTAGTGATAGTTATGTTGGCATAGCGTAGGCAGTCATAAAGTGTCGTGATAACAAACCTTATAGGTATCTACCTAATAGACACGTCATTTACCTACCTTTTGTAAAAACATTTACAATACGTAAGCAGTATTGATCACAGACGTTATAGAATAGGCAATTATTAAAATTAATATAAAATAAACTGATAAAATATAAAGTTTAATAAAATTAAAAACCTTTTTTTTTATTATTATTAAAAAAGTTACAATAGGTACCAGTTACTTATATTTCATACGGACTGCTGACACAATTCGTTGGCTTACTATTACAAGGTTCTATATTAATTTTAATGAAGTTTAGTAATTTGTACATAGAACTTCGTTATTTTGTTATCGTAAAAAAAACAACACAGAACTATGTAAAATTGAATATTTTGTAGGTATAGTGCTGCTATCTAGTGGTTTATTTTTGCAAAACTGTAGCTGATGACACATAGAGCCTTGTAGCATTAATAACTAAATAAGTACTAAAATTGTAACATAGAACCTTGTAATAGTGAGCCTTTTTTTTTTTTTTTTTTTTAACGTTGGGAAATGCATTTACGCACGACGTGTGGGACTCACCGGCGTAATACAGCCAGTACTACCCACTAAAACCCAACAAAACCTTCCCCCGTCTTAATGGGGCGTCGCAGGATCGCTTACGCATTCAACTACGACGCCCCGACGGCAGGTCTGCCAAAGCAGACCACCACAACCATGGGGTTGCTCCAAGGTCTACTCTGCTATCAGAGAAGTACCAGGAGCAACCCGCAAGGTACACCGCCCCCCGAAGAGGGCCATCTTCCACCGCCCACCGAAGTGGGCAACCTCCCTGTGCGTTTCTTAGCTTCGCTACTACTACTGAGCCCCCCCACCACGACAAGGTGAACACACGTTGGGGGGGTTGTAATAGTGAGCCTACGAGTCATGTTGGCAACAAAACAATTAAATGATCTACAAAGAGATCATAGGTAATTGGATATAATTCTAAGAATCAATATATGTACTTAGTGACAACTCTTGAACGTTGCAAGTGATCTGCGAAACTTGAGTGTTACGTGACGCGACTATACGCTTGATAAAGTATTTGCGTAAGAGACTAATCGATTTTAACGCGCTGCTACGGGTGATTTTCGTAATGCTTTTATCAAACTCGTCATTTGCACCGTTTTTACATGTACCTACCCAATATCGATGTTATATCGAGATTACCGTCATGGCGTTGTACGTGTCCGATACACTAAGAGAGTAGCGAGACTCTAGAATGAAACAAATATTTATATTGGCCAAATAGTTAATAGAATAATTATTAATAGAATAGTATTTTTGAATAATGTTACGTTCTATGAGTTCTGGGATCGAAAATTAAAGTATCTACGTCTTCTGCACTAGATATGTTTTATTACTTTTGGTTCACAAGAGTCCCTTTTGGCGGTTTACAAATATATGCGTAGTTTTGGCTTAACTCAGTCTCTGAACACTATTTTTCGCTACTACGAGTAGTTACACTTGCATTATGACATTACCACACTTTCTCACTTTTTAGTGGGTTTTTCTTCTCAATCTTCTTTAGCTCCGAAATTCAACCGATTTCCGGCTCATTGCCGCCCATTTTATATGCATAAACGAAGACCATTCTATTATTCGAACTTTCGAATCTTTTCTAGTAATTTCGATTCCTTTCTGGAAAATGTGTTGTTCCTTTCTTATATAGGTATTGTTCGTTAATTGTGATGTGTTGACAACTGTCTTAGGATGTATAAAGCATACTTCGGGCGTGCCATTTTTAATTATTATGTTTGGTGTAATGATGTTACGCACCGTCCAATAGGCGACGATAATAATGATGTCCTTCTGACTGATTGCAACCACGGCGGCCAATTCAATGAGACTAAATAACTGTAGAAACACCAGTGCACTCTCTATTTCTTTACTTTTACAAAACCGATCTCTCACCGATCAGTCGCATAACCGACGGCATTACGTGCTCTCTGAGGCACGAGTGTGAAATACCACCAACTTCCCAACTTCGGGCTGTTACTCGGTCTTTCTTAACGGAAAGACGCAATAACTAAACTTGGCGCGAACCGGAACTCGAACCCAGGTCTTTCGGATGTGCAGCCTTATATTAAGCTAGCCACTACAACACCGAAAGCTTTACGAGTGATAAACGTCATGATATCCAGTTAAAGCAAATTGTTACCGTAGTGGGTATATAGATATTATTTTTTATTATTATCTTCAATCAGTAAACACGCAATAATGTTATGATGTGCGTTGTGGAGTGTCAATCCACTCTGTCAGTATATCTACTAGTATAGTATTATATGATCTGTCAGTATAACGTAAAAGTAAGTCGCTTATCAGAAGGTAATGGGATCTTTGAGTTCGGTAAAGACATAATTATATGTCTGAACTATAATAAATGTGGATAATATTAGAGATAAACAAGAATTTTCCCAAAACGAAAAAAAACTGTATAAATTTATACTATTTTTTTAAAAATAACTCATTTTTAAGTTTAAACTATTTTTAACCGACTTCAAAAAAGGAGGTTATTAATAAGATACGTATATAGGTATGTACCTAATATTATTGGAACTGCAAAATATTCCCATATGATAAGCTATTAGGGCTTCCAAACAAACATAAAACATATTATAGTATGTTTGCCCACGCATTTCTCCGAAACAAGTAATCGGATCGTGAACATTCTAGGAACAACAAGCTATGGATCAGTAAAGAATTCATCAAAATCGGTTCAGTAGTTTGTAGGCATGATATAAACTAAAACGTGTAACCAAAACTGAAATAATTTTTGTAATTCCTATTTATTACAAAAACTATTTCAGTTTTTACCTAAAACTAAAAATTACGAAATAATTAAAAAAAATAAACCGACTTCAAAAAAAAGTAAAAAAATAACTGAGCGGGGGTTTTCCTATTTCATATTTGCATAAATTATTTTACCTACATTTTGCCATCTGTATTCCACTATAGTTTTTATAATATTTCTACCTTTCTTTAAAAATTCTTTTACTTTACTATCAACATAAAGGGAGGCAATCACAAAAATATATTGTACAACTTATAATATGTTTAAAAGTAATATAGGATAAAAAATTGCCAAATAAATGTTTAATTGGCAAAAACTAAAAAGCTGTAAATAAAAAAAAATAGTATAACAATAAGAACCCGACTGCAAAAAAGCTAACTAAAGATTAAGAAGTACTATTATGCAGTCGGTCAGAGATATACTGTACATCTCGCGGCAAGGATGAAACGCGATTTTTAGAATAAGTCGTACGCAGATTCTGTTGGCGTCGAACTCACTTATTATCACGATATCATCGGCGTATCGTTATACTTACTCAGCATTTTAAGTTATTGATTTGATAGATGGACGTGTGACATGTTCTGCCACTTTAATTAAATACCGTCGTCCTACACTGCAATAGTTCAGGTCCATAGCATGATAGAGTCGTATTTATCGTTTTTACAAAAATACGCCACACTCTTTTCAAGTGGTAACAATAGGTAAACGGTAATAAAGATTAGGAACCACTGAAATAGAACTTACCACCGGCTTGTTCTATTTTAATGTCTTCCTGTTTGTTATCAAAATATTCAGAAGCGTCATCTTCATAGTACAACATCATTTGATCTGGCGATGCTGCTTCAGATCCAGCCCCTTCCGCACTTGCCCATTGAGGCATTTTCTCACCTGCAATATTTAATATATTATTATACAAAAGCCACAATTAAATTGATTTCTGAAAAGTAGGTACTGATTGATTCAAATAATGACTAAGAAAAATTGATTTCATAAACTTCATTATCGGGATCTCTTATTTTCTTAAATGAATAATGAATTATCAAACAATTATAAATTAATTACACAGTTAGATTGATGCATAACTATCACATATTCATGTGGGTAGGTACGTTTATGATTGTTCACTTTTGTAAGTTTCTTCTATTTTTACATATATATATGATGATGATGATGATGTTCTCCTAGCCGATTCCGGCCACGGCGGCCAATCTCATTGAGACTAGCCAACTGCGCAGGAGATATTATAGTGCTCAAGTGTACGCGCAGACACAAGTGCACTCTGTATTCCTATCACTCTCATACTCCAGTGGGACGACTGCTCGACACGACCGGTGAGAGTTAAGGCGCAGGACCGACGGCTTTACGTGCTCTCCGAGGCACGGGGGTGAAACACCGCCAACTTCCCAACTCCGGGCTGTTACTGAGACTTACTATACAGAAAGACTCAATAACTAAACTTGGCCCGACCCGGGACTCGAACCCAGGACCTCCGAGTGTGCAGCCGTACATGCTAGCCACTACACCACCGAGGCAGTTATATATATATAAACATCACGCAAAAACTTGAAATTTTGACAGGTCGTTGCATTTTTACCCAAGCGTTTAACAATTAAGCAATTTAAAATTAACAGTTCAATTCTAGAGTTGGTTACCGATCTGATCTCTATGTTTATGCTGAAAACGGGCAACTTTCATTTCATTTCAACTTAAACGTTTCCTCGGTAACTATAGTTGCTAGACTATTTCTATGTACCTACTCCAGTAATAATTCATATCAGACAAAGACACAGCGAAGCGTGGGCCGGGTTTAGTGATAAAAAAAACCGAAATGTTTCTCAAAAACTTCATATTAGAATAAAAATTTAATATAACAATATGTTTTATATTATGCATACAAAATATAAATCTAAAATATTGTATGTAACCATGTTTGTACACTGTACTTTTAAATCAGTCAATATTCATATTAATAATAATTAACCCGTAACATTTCAAGTTAACGAGGAACTTTTTATAGTAAATTACAAAACTTTATAAAGTTAGTTCAATGTAAATTATATGAAATATCATATATATGAAGTATCATAAAAATCGAAATTATCGCGGAACTGTTGCTAATGTACTCTTCATGGTTTGATTTATATTATATGAATATTGATTAAATGCTGAATTTATTTGCCGACCGTACCCAGTAATCAACGCCTAATGTTTATACATAGTTTATTAGCGTTTCACTCTCACTTCGCCCGGGTTTGTCCGTACCTGTACGTTTTAACGAATAGTATGGAAAAGATAGATTATATAAATTATATATACCTATCTTGTCATACCTATGTATATAGGTATGTATATGGTATGAAAAGTTGGTGTGGGTTGTATTATAACGTGTTTTCCCGTGGGAATAAGAGGTAATCTGCCGCGATAAAAACTTCTATAGGCAGGTTTGGATGGGGAGTAAATTCATGTAAGTCGTCATCGACATGGTCACGTGACGTGTAACGCTAACACTCAGAGTGCCGATAGATGTCATAACCACATAAATCTAAACAGTTTAATTTACAAATTTTAATTTAAGATTAAACAATTCATTTGAATATGCAAATATAACAATTGTTTGTTTATAGTTTTAAATTTTCACTTTTGTCGACAGTCCTCATGAGTGCTTTTTATAGTTTTTATTTTTAATTTTTTTATAAAAAAAAATATAATTATAAAAAAATATAAATATAATTATAAAAAAATATATTTCTCCATTATAAATAAATCAGACGCATAATCCCTATTATAGTTTTGTTAGAACTTCAAAATTATCATAAAACGTTACCAATTTTACAGTACGTATAGTAATATGTGGGTCAGAATTTTATATTTGGTTTTACTATTAAATAAAATCAAAAGGTAATCCCATATCAAGGTAAGGTACCTAGAATAGTATAGAGAAGGCCTGAGCTGAACTTCGAGTACCTCTCTATAGAGTACTCTCCATAACGACAAACAGCATATATTTAATTTTATACTTGATAGTGCCTTTAAATCGGTTTATATTTAATAAAAAAAAACTACACCATTTAATCTATAATATCTTAGTGTTAATATAACTCCTGCTGTTATCTAATAATTCGTTTATAAGATGATAGTGGCTTCATAATTAAGTCGTAGCAGTGTGAGATATTAGGCTCAATGTACACTTGTATCTTCATTGAATAAAAAAATCCACAGATCTCGTGTCTGCCACGTCCATAGACTACTTTGAAAATGAATCTGCCAAATGAACTGAATTAAATTTTTAACATATTAATTACTAACAGAACAACCTATTTTGTCCGCGTTCAGACTACAAAAAAATATTTGGATGCATAAAGATATTATCTATACATATAATAAAACTGTAGAGGTCGAATGTCTGTACACAGAAAAAATATGCTAATAACCGAGTCAGGGGCATGTAAGAAGAGAAATTGAACAAATCCAGATATTTTTTAATTTTTTTGTTTTTCTGTCTGTTTTCTGTTTGTACGGGCTAATCTCCGAAACTGTTGAACCGATTTGATTTTACATGGTGGTACTGTATATCCCCGGTCAACATTTTAGATACTTTTCATCCCAGAAAATTAAAGAGTTCCCGTGGGATAGTTAAAAATGGGGAGGAGATGAGAGGAGAGGGGGGAGCGGAGAGGAGAGGAGAGGAAATGAGAGGAGAGGAGAGGAGAAATATATATAATAAGATATCGTAAATATTCTAACCCGAGTAATAAGTTATCAGTACACAAAATTTAGTTAAAATGGTTTCAGTATTTTTTTTTGAAACGCGCACACCCAAACAGACATACAGAAAACAGGCAAACAAACAAAATTTATCATAATCATTGTTTTGGGGTCTGTAGGATACAATACGTTGCAGTCATTGTCTTGAAAAAATATTTCACGTATAAATTTCGCTTAGTTACTGTTTTATTATATGTACAAAAGGAATTTATAGTAGTATATTAGTTAGTTATTTATTTAGTCACAAAGAATCACTTCGGTCAAAAACAACCTCGCGTAAACTCCGCGTCACAAAGTTACTACTTCTGATAACCCATCAGTGATATGAACCTCCAATATTTTTTTAAACGTAGTCCGAAGTCATATCTCTAGGGGTTTTTTTATTATTTCGATATCTTATTTCATTTCGAGATATGATTTTCTTTCTGACCGAAACCGAGCGTTTTTTTCTCATTTTTTTAGATTTTAAAAAAAGCCTTTGAGTGTTTCCAATTTTTTTTTGCATTTTGTAGCCCTCATTCAGACGCATCTTATAACATCCCAATCAACGACGTAGTCCTAAAATCCACGACACCAGGGCAATGTCGCATTTTCGCTGAAAATCGGACCGCCAACTGAACTGAAGCGCCAAAAAACATTTTCAATGTTAAAAATGAAAATATAATGTGCAATATCTATAAAAAAAATTAAATTACAATAATATAAGTATTTTCGCCTATGCCTAAACAAAGAAGCAAGTCCAAACGAAAATTTTCTTTATACCAATTAGCTACCTAAAATCCATTCAAATTATAAAAGTTGAAAGTCGTACCCAATCAGTTTGCACTTTGTTTAATCTTTATTACTATATAAGCTTCCGTTGTCAGTTAGTCTGTATTAGTGTTATAGTAAGGGCGGGGCCGTCGCCAGGCGACCGTCGGCGTCCCAACGGCGCCAGTGGCAAATGACATTAACACCCATGTCTATACACTAGTGACGTTGGACATCGTCATTTTTGCTCAAATCGACTACTAAATGAAGAATTTAACAACATTTTTATCCTTATTCAAATTTATAATACAGTTATATACTCAATTAGGTTTATAGATCTCAGATTTCCTATCTGTCATTGAATAGAATTCGTTCGAGAATATCACTATACTCATAATATTTCTTGTTATATTTTTCATACAGTTAAAAAAGCTCAACGATCCTTAATAAAACCATAGTATGGCAAACACAATGGCAAAGAGGGCCTCTCGGAAAAGCTCAACAACGGTTACGACTTATGTATATGCCAGGTTGCATTCCCTCTACGGGACAAGTGCTACGCTTCGCCGCTACGAATGATTAGCGAAAAATGATATGTTAATTATAATTTCATCAAATATTGTACCCGATTAGGATGTATATCTTTTTAGAGTTTGTAAGCCAATATCGCCTAAGCCCCGTTTTAATGAAAGGCTGCACTTATATCATTATTCATATTGAAAAAAAATACCACCTACTGTTTTCATCTGAATGATTTTATGATATTAAAGTCCTTATACCTACCTTAATATTTATATTATTTTAAAACTAGTTAAAACATTTTAAAACTAGTAATAATAATAATATTTAGTTTTACTCTCATTGATTAAGTCGATTGATTTGATTGCCAAGTTTAATCACAAAACTCTATACCTAAAACCATTTATCTTACTGAACTGACTGAACATTATTACCTTATTAGGCTGTTTTCTTAAAATATTTAATTTAAAATCTAAATGAACAATAATCAAACTAGTGAACAGCTAGACGATATTCTATTCTAACCACTAAAATGCAATGAGTAAAAGAATCACTATTTACATATACATTAATAAATGACGAGGTAAACGCAAGTATCAATTTTTACTCCGATTTTTATTTAATTATTCATTTTTCTATCATTATCTCGAAATATTCCTTGAAGTGACTTGGTTAGTTTTCCAAGATTCTTACAATGAGACGATATAATAAAATGGTATTATAGCGAAATCTGTACATGATATTTAAAAAAAATGACTACGGAATATAGACCCAAAACAATAATTATTAAAAATTTTGTCTGTTTGTCTGTATATCTGTGTGCGATTTACGCAAAAAGTACTGAAC